GGCTGGACATATTCTCAGTGGTAGCTGCATGCTGGTAAGCATTTCTCCATGTCCATAACAGGAATTTAGGGGTGTGGTTCAAACTTTTTTTTTTTTTCATGAATTGCCAGGCATGATTTTTCAGAAATATTTATATGAAACAGCACTATCACCTCTGTGGGTTATTTCTGACATTGAAGAAATAAGATTGCATTATGTCCCTGCCCATTTCAGAGAGACTGGATTAGGTGAGATTTAAAGGTCTGTTCAAGCCAAACCCTTCTGTGATCTGTGTGGCTCTCTGAATGGCTGTACTGGGTGAGTCCAAAGGAACAGGCAGACTCTCACACCCAAGACATTTGTCATCATCCACTCTCCCCAGACACTCAGCCTCAGCATGACATTACACTCAGGTGGTAAAGCCTTCTAGAGAACAAACCACCTCAAGGTTGTGAAAAACGTCACAACAATGGAGATAAAACAACTTACAATTGGGAAACTGTACTGAAAATGATGATGTGTTCTGTGTGTCCCTGCCAGTAATAGGAGACAGGAGCACAAGCACATTCCAACTACCTCTATATGAAGCCTAAGAAGCCTTTGGCCTTCTCAGGTCTCAATGACCTATTTGTACCCCCACGTGGAGCCTGTAATGGTCATGGGATAGAGCAGATATCCTCTTTAACAGGGATCCCCTTGCACACCCTGCTAGTGAGCCCTGGGAGGCTGGAGAGAGCTCAGGGCTGCTCAGCTTCTGCTGCAGTAGGAAAGCTCCTGCCTGCAGAGCAGACTCAGGTGCCTTACACAGACAGAGGAGTCTCCTTGTGTGTGGGGACAGGTCACTGCAGCTCCTCCTCAGGTGCTCAGGGTCTCTGATGCCCAACAAGGAGTTGAGAGGTGCCCAGGGGCATGGGGGGCACCAGGAATGAGCAGGACCTGTGTGGATGTGTCGTAGTTGAGACGGTCACAATACAAAGCAAGACTCCATTTTCAGAAGGCGTCAAACTGTTTTTATTCTAGCATGTATGCTTTTTATACACTCTTACAAAACTCCTAAGTTTACACTTTACTTATTGGTCACAAGAGACAAGGTGCTCATTGGAACAGGCAGTTGCAGGTTTCTCGTATTTATTCTTCTTTCTTTCTTGGTTTCTATGTCAATGACCTCGGTAGAAAATTCTTTCAGGGCAAACCTGGATCCTCTTCTCAAACTTATCTCTGGCTCACAGAGGTCACTGTAAAACCTCTTCCACATGGATGTGCTGCTCCTCTGAGCACACATTACAGCTAAGGTGGAGGGAAGGCAGTCCTGCATGTGCTGGGTCACTACTGTTGATTACTCCGCCCTACTCCAACCAAATCAGCTTGCTGGGTGGCTGATGCCCAGACCCTGATAAACTGTGGTATATGTTCCATAAGATACAACCTACACACATCTGTTCATTGTTTATATACACGTTTGATGTGTTATCAGCTCTACTAATGCCACGTCACCCAGGGAACAGACGTGGTGACAAGCAGCTGGGTTAGGCATGCTTCTCAAGTTGTGTTCCTCTCAATGACAGTGGGTGAGACTCAAGAGTGGCACAGCCCAGCTCACAAAGCAGTGGGGAGACAGGTAAAGCAGCAAACTTTCATTTGGGGGTGAGAACTCTCCGTTGAGTATCAGGGCTGTGCTGTTAATCAGACTCCTCATGTTCCCAGCAAACACCGGCGGAAGAGCTGGCCTGGGAGGTGACATTCAGGATGTCCTTTCTGTCACCCACCACAGCAGCTGAGGAGCTCCTGTTACAGAGCAGGGGAGTGGGGTGGGCAGCCCAAGACGCCTCCGGGTAAGACAAAGTCAAAAGAAGGCAAGTGGCAAAAGGGGGAGGGAAGGAGAAATAGGATTAGGTGCATAATATTAGCACAAGCAGCAACTGTAGCCTAAAAAAGACAGCAAGGAGGTGGTGTCTTCCTCAGTTGGCACTCATTTGGGACAGATGCACAAATCCTACTTCTGGGCAGATTTCAGTGCTGTAAATGGAAATAAACTGGTATGGAATTTCTATAAATCTGCTCACTTTAAAAATTAGGCTTTTCAAGACTAAGACAACCCAGTGGATTGCCACAGAATTTTCTGAGTGATCCTCACTGTAGTGACATTGCCAACAGGATACACAGCAGACTTTTCTAGTGACATTTCTGAACCAACTTGTTCTTGCAGAAAAATTCCTTTTGCATCCTTAGGAAATTTATTAAGGGTTTCATTATTTTACATTGGAAGACAGATTCCCTTGTGGGTCAGGCTAAACATTTCTTTAATTACTTTCTGTGTTCATCTCATGTGCCAAGGTAAGAACACAATTTGCTGCTCCTGAAGCACAAATCAGAACAGCTCCAGGGTTTTTTTTTTTCCCTTGGATGATCCTACATAAAACATATGCCACAGGATGGGCTCAAAAAGAGTGACAAGCCAGGTCCCTGTGGGGTGGGCCACAGCACCAGCAGCTCAAAACTTGGAGCACTCTGCCAGAGAGAAAAGCAGCTCCTGAGGCTGCTGGACCCCAACCCGAGCTACCTGCCCTGCCTGGAAAGCTGAAGTGAGGTCTGGATATTTGGGGCTTCCAGGCTCCACCTGCGAGTAGCCCCTGAATTCTTCAGGCCTCTGGGAAGGTCTAGATTTTCACTCTGCCCTCCCAGTACAGCATCCCCACAAACAGGTTTGGGAAATGATGCCTGAGGATTTGTTCTTGTCAGTGCAGACAGCTCTGCTCAGCATTTACACCTCCTCAGCAGCAATGAAACAACAGAATAAATACAGAAAATTATTTCTTCAAAACTAAAATCAGGCTTTAAAAATAATTTCAGAGGTGGGGTATGAGTTAGTAGTTTGCAGATTATCATTGTAATGTTTCCCAGCAGTTCCCCTCGGATTTCTCCTGACCTTTCATCCAAAGCCTGTCCTGAGTTGTCATTTCTTCCACGCCCACATCCTCTACTGTATTATTACTTATTTATTTTCCTTGCACACATCCATCTTGATTTTCTCCTCCCAGACCTTTTCTGAACTCCCCAGCACTGTTCCAATCCCACCTGAGTTCTGTGGTTACTCTTCCACACTCACTCTTAGCAACTTTTTCCTTCAACAAGAGTCAGAATATATCAAGTTCAGCTGGTCACATGCCCTGCATTAGGGTCCAGCTCTATTTGATCTGAACACGTTCAACAGGCTGCTCCACTTGGCTACAGGAGAGGACAAGACTTTCTGCAATGCTGCTGTTCCTGGAGCCTGTGCTTTCCTCACCAGGGAAGGGATTCACTAACTGGGGCCTATTGCTGATCTGCAAAGCAGAAGATGGTCTTCTGGGTCCACAGGCATTGCATTTTTGTTGGTTTACAGAGACATGATGCTCCATCCTCCCTAAGGAGCCCTGGCTGACTGCTGGAATTACCTGGGCACCTACTTTGCTGCCCATGGGACAGCACATCCCAGCAGGGAATGGCCATGGCCACGGTGCTGGGCCCCTTTCTGCTGTTTAACCTTTCATCTGGCAATGGAGCTGTGCTGCACTGAGTCTCTCTGGGGTAAGAATAGCAGCTGCTGCCTTGGCACACAGCACACGTGGCCAGCTCCTCCAGGGCAGCACGTTGCAGTGCCACATAGAAGGCAGCCTACCCGCCCAGGAATGTCTTCAGGCGCTATTAGTGGAAGCAGATCATCCCCACAAACAGGCACGACCCCGCACAGGAGTCTTAGGAGACTGGGGCTATTTTGGGCTTTTGACATTGAGCATGAAAGGAGACCCGTGATGGGCTGATCCTCCTGCCATGGGCCTCCTCCGAAGCTCCTTTCAGCCCTGTCCCCTCCTCCAGCAATGGCTCTTGTGGAGGCTGAGGGGCAGTTTGGTGTGGCCTTGGAGGGCAGGAGGTGAGTGCAGAGGGAGCTGTGAGTTTGCTGGAGGGACAAGGCCAGCCCTCAGTGCCATCAGGAGTGCCCAGCTGTGCTCAGGACAGGTCCTGCCTGAGGGTGTGCACCTGTCCCTGAGCTCAGGGCATGGGGCTTCCTGCTTTATTCTCAATCACACCCATGAGAGTGAGAGAGGTACCAGAGTGTATTGCAAGGCTCCAAACAACTTGCTGAAAGCCTGCATTGAAACACTAATCCTTTGCATCCAGAAGGGTATTTGCCTCTTTCCACCTGAAGCTCTCCATTTCTGAGTGGTTCTTCAGCACCAGGAATGTTTGAGTGGTCCGTTTTCCTACTCCCAGCCATCACAAATTCCCTCCCCAACTTATTCCCATCCTTTTAAGATCCTCTTTCTGGTGTGGATTTCTTTCATTCCACATTTTTTTATGTCTCATTTATTTCTGTTTAATTTACCTTGCTTTGTGAAAGTTTCAGTGATTTGCCAGCACTGAACCAACCACACTCATTGGTGCATTGGCCAGAAAATCTCAAATTAGCAAACCAAAACCACTACACTGCGGCAAGAGCAAACAGGAAACTTTGTCCCAAAAGCAGGCAAGAAGGCTGGGAGGATTACATGACAATGCCATGTGATGCCTGGATACTCTGGAATGAATAGTGACAGGTTGGCAAGGGTTACCAGACTTGCCTAGCAGTTAGTAATTTTCTGTTGATTTTGCACAGCTACTCCTGAACAAGTGAACAACCGTTTCTCAGCAGGTTCATGAAGCAGAGTGGTGCACTGAGTGGTGCACAATCATTTGACATGGTGGGCTGGGGTCAGTGACACGGCCCAGGAGCACAGCAGGACGTTGGATTGAAGCACAGCACTGCTGAGAACAAGGTGCAGCTGCTCTCCTGAGAATGTGCTGCTTCTAGGCTACAGGAGCTGGAACAGAATTCCTCCTTTGGAAAAGCAAAAAAGCCTGTCAAACCTCTAGGTTTTAAATTCAGGATAAAACTGGTCAAAGTGAAATAGTAAGACTCAGAACAGAAACAGAAGTAGTAAGACTCAAACTGACGCTCTTGACTATAATTAACTTAGTGACAAAATGAGACTCTCATTTAAACATTCACATTTGGAGCATTTGAAGTTGCAGATATCTATTTTATTGACACTGGTACAGCAGCAGCAACAGAAAATGTTTGTGTTCATAAACAAAGGGAAAATTACTTCCACAGCTGGAGAGGTACTTTGTGGAAGTTCCAGTTATCCCAGAGGAAGCTCATTTTTCAGTTCCTAACACCACCTAGGAAGGAGAAGCTTTGTTTAGTCTACACATGCCAAGATGAGTCTTTTAATCCCTCAAACCATCCATCTCAGTTCACCATCCAGCTAGGATGTGCAAGTGAAGCCTGAGCCAATGCAGACATTTGTGGAACCCTTAAAACCACTGTGTGAATTGAATATATGCAGATAACACCAGGATGGCCACCATCCACAGCTGAAGCATGGAGAAAAGATTAATTCCATTGTTTCACTGAAAAAAATGAGGACACATGGACTGCTGAGCTTATTCCATCTTAACAACCCCAACCCACTCAGCTTGTCCTTAAAAGCCCCTTCCTTCCAGAGCTGTCCTTTCCAAATGATGCCTGTACAAGGCACAAATCTGCTGCTAGACTCACTTGAGCAAATAGCACACCTGCAGTAAAGCCTTACCTTTGTAGCAGAGCCTTCTCTGGCCTTAGCTCTGAGTTTATTTACTTGGCTCTCAGCAATATCTGCCCTTTCCAGAGCCTCACCCATCTTATGCAGTGCATTTTTCAGTTTGGAGAGATCAGTATTGGCTTGTTCACCCTGAAATTGCAAAACAAAAATTTAAAACCATCTGGCAACATGCTGGGGCACAGAGCCAACTTTTAAACTGGCAGTCCCATGAACTGGTAAATAACTATTTGCTTCACTTTAGTGACTCACAGCTTCTTCAGCTTGTTTTCTGTAGGATTTGATTTTCATCTGCAGTTGATCTATCAGATCTTGTAACCTAACCATGCTCTTCTTTTGTTCTTCACACTGTGGAAAGAGAATGTGCAGTTTTACGTCCTTGGGAGACAAAACATCAGAATTGCTTTCTATTTTTACCCACCTGAAAAGTGAGCTCTTTGAAACGCCGTTCATATTTGCAGATGTTTTTTATAGCCTCTGAGGATTTTTTATGTTCTTCCTGCAGTTCAGCTTCTAATTCTCGGATCTGGTGAATTAATGAACAGTTGGCTTAAGCCCTCACACAGCAATCAGAGAAGAAAGATGTTTCTGACACCCAAGTTCAGTGCTGGTACCCACCCTGGCCTCCAGCTTCTGGATCTCTTTCTTCCCTCCCTTCAGTGTCACCTGCTCAGCCTCATCCAGACGGTGCTGCAGGTCCTTCACTGTCTGGTCCAGGTTCTTCTTCATCCTCTCCAGGTGGGCACTGGTGTCCTGCTCCTTCTTCAGCTCCTCTGCCATCCTGGCTGCCTTGGAGGGGAGATGACACAAGAAACTGGAAGAATGTGAAGGAACAGCACAAACTGTGCACCAGCACAAGATTACCTCCTGTGTCCTGCTGCCCATTCCTGCCACCCCATTCCCTATTTTGATTTTTTGTCCATCACATGATAATGGCAAAAACATGACAGGAAATACTAGGGAAGAGGATGGGGAAAGTCTGCCTTACTGCACACAGAGCTGGAGTGACAGAAAGGGAAAATGTTCTGTCCCACTGTGACCTCACTAACAGCTGGGCGCCAGGGGAAACCTCCAGAGCAACAGCAGAGTCTGGCAACAGAACATGGCACAGCTGGAAAGCTTCTGTGCTCAACACACCTGGGCTGTCCTGGCTGCTGTGCTTGCCCTGCTACTGCCCCAAACTCCTGGGTGTCACAGAGGAACAAAATAGTTTAAAATTAACTATGTTATTTAAGCCAAACTAAGATTTTTCTTGCTCTCAAACATTGGATTCCTACACAGTATAATTAAACACAATATTGAGCGACATTATAATTAATGTTATAATTTTATAATTATAATTAATGTAGAATTCAACAAATTGCTTTGGCAGCAAAATATCTGAAAAGGTCTTAACTGAAAAAAATTCACCACTAGAAGTTTTATGTAAATGTAGATGTGTGTATAATTCATTGTAATGTTTTCTTTTTCTTTTATTCAAACAGAATAAAAATCATTAAAACACAGGGACACCTCAACATGAGGAAGAGCTTCTTTCCATGGAGGGTGGCAGAGCATGGAGCAGCTGCCCAGGGAGGGCACAGAGTCTCCCTCTCCGGAGACATTCCAAACCCACCTGGACATGTTTCTGTGTCACCTGCAGCAGGTTGGAGTAGATAATTTCCAGAGGTCCCTTCCAATCCTAATGATTCTGAGATCCTATTTTTTTTTTTTCATTTAATGAGCAAGTTGAATAGTTTTCTAATTCCACATAATGTATCTAAGTGTTAAGATTTTGGTTTAATCCTCTGCATCAAAAATCATCAGCAGATTTAGTCCCCTGACACACCAGTGCTATTGCCTGGCTGAGCTTCACAGGTCTTGCATGGGAGGATTTAGCACCAATTTTGAATGGAAATTTACAATTCTCATTAAAAAATTTGATAATAGGATTTTGCAAAGATAACTATTCAGACACCTTAGCCACTTTACTGGTTTCAATACTGCAGGATTTCTTTGTGGATTATGTTTTCAGGCAGCACTGAAGAAAGTTTTTTTGTTTTCCACTCACTAAATGTAGATTCAGTTCTTTATGATGGCAACAGCCCCATCTGTCAGCAGGACATGTTCCCTGTTGCTCTAATCCTCCTCTGACACAAAGCCTTTTCAACCAGACCCACAGGTGGTTTCTTGTCCAACATGTAACAAGAATATTTACATTAACCCCCAGCAGCAATGCCACTGGAAGCCTTGAAAATTCAAAGTGAAAACCATAGTAGCATTCTCACATCTGTCATTGCCTTCTTAGCTCTTTCTTCAGCACTTTTTGCTTCATTAGTAACATCCTCTATCTCTGTTTGGAGTTGTGCTATATCAGTTTCAAGCTTCTTCTTTGTATTAAAAAGGCTGGAGTTCTGTGAAAGAGAAAGAGAGAGGCTTTGAATGTCTACACATAGAGATCAATTCATCAATTCATTCTTCCTCCATCAATCTCTGGACCCCAAAATACATCTTAGCTAAGCAAGCTACCTGGGTGTGGAGGAGCTGTGCACGTTCAGTGGCATCCAGAAGCTCCTGCTCAGCCAATTTCCTCGACCGCTCCGTCTGCTCCAGGGCTGCCCGGAGCTCCTCAACTTCAGCCTGCAGCAGGTTTGCTCTGCGCTCCACCATGGCCACCTGCTCCTTCAGGTCATCCTGTGTCCTCAGAGCATCATCCAGATGGATCTGGGTGTCCTGTATTTAAAGAGCCAGTTTTGTCCTAATCAATTTCTTGAATACTTTGCTTAAAAAATAAATCGACCAGAAGGTAAAGCAAGACCTTGAGAGCTCCCTGGATGCTGTGCAGGTGTTTTTGTGCCTCTGCAGCCTGGCGGTTGGCATGGCTCAGCTGGATCTCCATTTCATTCAGGTCTCCCTCCATCTTCTTCTTCAGCCTCAGGGCTTCATTCCTGCTCCTGATTTCAGAATCCAAAACACCCTGCATTGTCTCCACAATCCTTTCCTGGTTCTTTTTTAGCTGGTTGATCTCCTCATCCTTGTCAGCAATCTTTCTGCTGATTTCTGACTTTATCTGAGTCAGTTCTTGGTTGACACCAAGGATTTTGACTTCTTCATGCTCAAGAGCTGCCTTTAAAAGAAAAAAGGGGAAAACAAAGATGAAGGTAACATTTCAGAGAATATGATTATTGAGGTGATACACAGTGATTTCATAGAACTTCCTAAAGTTCGTGGCAATCAAACAGGGTTACCAGAAAAGGGAATAGAAAGCTGCTCAGCATGCTCTTTACTATATACAGTAATATTTAAACTAACTCACCTCTGCCTCCTCCAGAGCTGTTTGCAGACCATTTTTTTCTACTTCAGCTTGCTTTTTGGCTTTCTCAAGGTCTCTGACCATTTTGCCATTTGCAGTAATTTGCTCTGTGAGATCAGCTGCTTCCTCTGTGAGAGAAGAAGGGCATCAACCAGAAGAGCTTTGTTGCTGCAGCCAGCACCCCTTTTGCACACATAAATATGTATACACAAAATGTACATGTGTACACAATGGTACATCTGTCTGTAAATATGTACAGATAAAACTAGACACAACCAACTCGTGCAGGCCAAGTGGGGCATTGGTGTGGTTTACAGAGAGCCTGGAAGGGCCCTGCACGTGTTACATCTATGGATAGGCCATCAGGGTCTAAAACTACAGGTCCTGTCATTGTGTTCAGTGCATCTGCAAAACTCACTCTCATGAGCTGCTCAGTCTCCCTTTGGTCACTACCTTTGCCTGGGAATGGCCCCCAATGTCTGCAGCAGATAAGAGAGCCAGGACATTTGCTCTGTTGGCTTCATCGCTTTACAAACATGCTTGACAGCTTTTGGTAAGACACTGATATTCTGCATTAAGATGGAGAGCACAGGAAGGACAGAGTGCTGTCCCTTGGTGCCCTCCTGCAGGCACGAGCGTGCTGGTGGGGCACACCTTGCTGTGGCTGGTCTGTGAGAGCTGATGGGACACCAGAGCCAAACACGTACGCTGCAGAGCAGAGTTCTCCCGCTTGATTGTTTCGAGCTGGTCTAAGGTTTCCTCATAGGCATTTTTCACTTTGAAAAGCTCTGTGTTCAGCGAGCCTGCTTCTTTAGAGAGAGCTTCCCGCTCCAGCTGGCTCTCCTCATACTTCCCCTTCCATTCTGCCATGACCTGGAAGACACCATAGAGTCATAGAACTCTTTGGGTTGGAAGGGACATCAAAGATCACCTAGTTCCAAATCGCCTGCCATGGCAGGGACACCTTCCACTATCCCGGGTTGCTCCAAGCCCTCTCCAACCTGGACTTGGGACACTTCTAGGGATCCAGGGGCACCTGCAGCTTCTCTGGGCAGCCTGTGCCAGGGTCTAACCACCCTCATACGGAAGAATTTAACCCTAATATCCAATTTAAATCTACTCTTTGTCAATGTAAAGCCATTCCCCCATGTCCTGTCACTCAGGCCCATGTAAACAGTTTCTCTCCATCTTTCTTGTAGCTCCTCTCAAGCACTGGAAGGCCACAATTAGGTCGCCCTGAAGCTTCTCTTCTCTAAGCTAAACAATCCCAATTCTGTCAGCCTTTCTTCATAGGAGAGGCTATTATGCTTCATTTCCTGCTGGTACTGAAAATGTTATTTGATCTGTGACTACATTTTGTACTAGATAAATAATGCAGTCTCTTAAACCAGGACAAATTCCTCCTGCCATGCCCTAGTGGCTCTAGTTAGATTCACCATGATTTCAGCTTTGGCTGATGTACAGAGTGTTAGTTTGGCTTTCTGGGAGGCTACACTTGAAAGATACCATGCTCATTTATGACCTTATCAAAATTCTGCTGTTTCCTGTCAAGGGCAGCTGCTGATGTGTTTGCTCTCTCTATGTCCAGTTTCAGATCCTCCACTTCCCCCTGCAGCTTAAACTTCATCTTCTCCAAGGAGGCACACTTGGAATTCAGCGTGTCTGCCTGCTGCCCTGCTTCCTGGAGACGCTGAGAGAGCTTTTTCCTTAAGGCACATAAATAAAACAAGCATATGATTAAAAAAATCATTACACCATGAGGACTATATGCACACCCCCAAAAAATAATTTAGGTCAGGTTACTAAAAGGGGGTCTATGTTCTGCCCCATGTACATCTGGACAGCTCATCCCATCTGTTCTGTACTTGGCCTCCTCGAGCTCCTCTGTGCGCTGAATCGCGTCCGTCTCGTATTTGGTTCTCCACTGAGCCACTTCGCTGTTGGCCTTGGACAGGGCTCGCTGCAGCTCCCCCTTGGCCTCCTGCTCCTCCTCATATTGTTCCCGGAGCAAGTCACAGTCGTGGCGAGCAGACTGCAGGGCGTGGGCCAGGGCGTTCTTGGCCTGAAAAGGACCCACAATATCAGGTATTTCTGTTAGCTGTGACCGGCAGGAGACCTCATGACCTTGCACATCTGGAATATGATCACTGCAGCCCGGACAGAAGACAAAGGGCTGGGGCTTTGTAAGTGTTCAGGAAGCTGCCTTCACCTGTCACCAACTCTACCACTAGAAAAGACCAAAAGTGATGCTTTCACCTTGGCATATGTTGTAACTTGTCTTCACTGTGGCTAAAGAAGCTAAAGAAATCTCATAGACCATGGCTTTAAAATTTAGAAACATCAAAAAATTCACCAAGTTACATCAACTTTCAGCATGCCTGAATCATCCTTTGCAAAGAACCCACTGCACACAGTGCTTACTGTACACATCCTTCCCCGGACTAATTTTACTGCCTGGACTACAGGCAATATTTACAAACTCCCAAAAGTGTTTCTCAAATGAAATGAGCCCCTGATACATTTTGAAGCTTTTTCAGGTGCTCAGTAGTTCACACTACCTTGATCTCTTCCTCCAGCTGCCTCTTGAGTTCTTCTATTTGCTGTGTAAGTGCCTGCTTGCTTCTGGACAGCTGCAACCTCACAGTTTCCTTCTCTTTGAGCTGACGGCTTAGTTCACCTATGACAAGAGAGGGCAAGTTCTCAATACTGTACAGATTAGCATCCTGAAAAGCTTAGTTCACCTATGACAAGAGAGGGCAAGTTCTCAATAATGTACAGATTAAGCATCCTGAAAACACAATAATAATCATCATAATAATAATAATCATAATAATAATCATAATAATAGGAATCACACAGCACTGGTTACCTTTTCAGTTGCTCCCATTATACATCTACCATTGCAGGTATATTTTCATCCTTAAAAATGCTTTTGTTGTTGTTCTTTCTTTATCAAAACTCACCTGATTCCCTAATTCTAATTGTATCCCTTACTACAGTTCTGATGCACTAGATGCTATTTTTTTTCCTGAAGAAAAATGCTTTTGAAAATTTGCTTAATTTTCATTTTGAAGCAGCAGGATTTTGTGCTGTCACACTGGCTGAATTGATGTAGCAGTTTCCCATAATTGTCCTTGTGATGCAAGGGATAAACCCTGAATTTTCATTTCATAAGATTTACAGTAATTGGAAAACACTTATTCCATATCACCCTCTGTCCTGGGGGCTGAAGTACCTCTGTCCCTTTTGTTGGAGAGGTGCCTATAGGTGATGCCATCATCTCTAAAATTCTCAGTACTTCCTGTAGCAGTCCAATATTATGTTCTTCAGATTTATCCTGAGCCATTTTACATTTTTTCTCAAATTTTCAGTTTCATTCTAAGATTCCACTTGAGCACTATGCTCAATGACCTTACAACAAAGGTTAACTAGTCAGAGAATGGTACACATGAGAGAATCTGTTTGCTATGAAGGGAAAAAATATCCCCTTAGCACATCTTTGTGCCTTCCTTACCAGACTCTGTCTGGAGCTGGGCTTTTTGCATCACCATTTCATTCACATTCCTCTGTTGCTCCTCAAGTCTGGCTTTCATCTCACTCACCTCATCCTCCAGTGTGCGGTACCTTTTTTCAAGAACAGCCTGAAAGAGAATCAGAAAGTGGAATTTGTGTAGGTGTGTATGGCTGCAGCTCTCTTCACAGACAGCAGCAGGTACAAGTTCTCCAGGGATTTTTCCTGGGAAGGTAGAGAGAACCTCAGGGAAGAAAACAATTCTTATCTCTATTCATTGCTCTTGTTGCTTTGCACATGTGGAATGTGTTATAGAGATGGTTTACTTAAAGTGGTTTATTAATTGGACAAGATTAAGAAAGATTGTTTTGATTCCTTGGCTGATTGGGTTAAAGTTGTGTCCTGGCTGTCTGCAGACAGCCACAGGTTTTTCTTTACTATTTTTCAGTACAGTATCTATTTAGTTTGTAATTTAGTATAGTATTAGTGTATTATAGTATTAGTGTAACAAGCAATTGTTCAACCTTCTGAATCATGGAGTCAGAGCACATTATTTCTGACATTGGGGTCGCCCTGCATTGATAGGTGTGTTTGTACAGTTCCCATCAGAGAGAAATATTGGTAATTCAAGTATTTAAGTTATAAAGAAACACCTTGGACTTGGTAATGGCCTCTGTACGACCGGCCAGGTCACCGATCTCCATCTTCAGCTCACTCTTCTCCTTCTCCAGCTTCTGCTTCACGCGTTGCAGGTTGTCGATCTGCTCGCCCAGCTCAGCTGTGCTGTCCGCGTGCTTCTTGCGCAGGGCGGCAGCCGTGGCTTCGTGCTGCAGCGTGGCCTCTTCCAGGTCACGGCGCATCTTCTGGAACTCTGCCTCACGCTTCTTGCTGAGCTCCGTTTGAGCAGTGCTGGCTCCTCCAGCCTCTTCAAGGCTCCCACGGGTTTCCTCGAGCTCGCGAGCCAGCTCAGCACAACGCTTCTCTGCTTTTGTCCGAGTTGTTTTCTCACTCGTGATCTCCTCTTCCAGCTCTGCAGCACGAGCCTGAACAACGAGCAAATAGCACATGAGGAATTGAACAGGGAACAAGTCATTCAGTGCTTAGGTTACCGCATATTTGTCACAGTAGAACACCAAGAACCTGGTTTTGGAGACTTCTTTCAAATTTCACTGTTTTGGCATTGTAGGTAAAGACTTACTGACTGAAAGGACCCATGGATCAACTCATTCTAGCTTTAGATCACAGCTTTCTGTTGTTGTATTGAGTTTGCTTGGGTTTGCATCCCTGTATCCCCCCACTACCAGGTTTTGAGAGTGGAGGCTTACAGGGGTGGCTTCTATGAGAAGCTGCTGGATGCGTCACCTCTGTCTGACAGAGCCCATGCCAAATTCTGGACAAGCATTATTCATGATACTACAGTTTAAAACAAGCAAACAGTAATGATGAAGTAAAGTCTCTTACCTGCAATTCTCTGATCTTCTTCTGCAAATGAGTACCTGAATTTCGCTGTTCTGCAATTTTCTTTTGCATCTCATTAAAATCAAAGTCTTTCCTGTGAAGGAGATGTTTTATTAAAAGAAAATATGTCCAGTTAAAGCCAAATAATAAATTATCTACTAATTTGTTTCTCTTACTTCCTTAATTTTTCATCTAAATGTTGTTTCTCATTCTCCAGATCTACTATGGTTTCCTGTGCAAGTTTCAAGTCTCCCTCAAGTTTTCTCTTTGCCCGTTCAAGGTCCACACACGCTTTTCTTTCGAGTTCCAAAGATCCTTCAACCTGCAACATAAACATACATAATCATGACTGATGGAACAACTAAAGAATCTGCTCCTTCTCCTTGTGCTGAACATGCTCACATGGTTCACTTGCTGCTCCAGCTTGATCCTAGCTTTGGTGAGGGTATTAACTTTCTCCTCCTCTATTTGCAGGTCATCCAGTGCCTGTTGCTGGGCTTCTTGAAGGGCCTTCTTCTCCTTCACTAACTTTGCAACAGTCTCGTCCAAACCTGTCACTACTTCAGCCAGATTTTTGACCTATTGTAAGGTAAAATACTTTAAGGTCACTAATAACATGAACACATACAATGAACTTGCTGTTAAACTCCCAAAGAGGCTTTGACCATTTTATGGTCGCACTCTACAATCTCTCTGCTTATATATCAACCCTTCAGAAGTCACAAAGCAATGATGAACTTTAATGCATTTTTGCATGCTTATGGGTTGGTTTTCCTGCACAACCGAGGTGCCCAGGTTCAATACCAGGCCCACAGATCTCCTTACACAGCAGCATGTAAGCATTCAAGTTTACTGAATCTTTACAGCCTATACATCAGCAGAGCAACTGTTATTAAACATTGCAGAAAAAAAAAGCACCTTGTTTTCAGTGGCATGCTTTTCCTTTTCAGCCTTGACCAATGTTAACTCAAGGTCATCCATATCTTTCTTCAGCTCAGAGCATTCATCCTCCAGTTTCCTCTTTCTGGCTGCCAGATCAGCATTCATCTCCTCATCATCTTCCAGCTTTTCCATTACCTCCTTTATTCTTGCTTCCAGCTGGAATTTTAGTTTGATCAGCTGGTCACATCTTTCTTCAGCATCAGCCAAATTTTCATTTTCCTTTTTATAGAGAACAGAAATGTGTTTCATTATCACACATTGGCACTGACACTTGCTTAAATCACCTGTGTATTAAGTGGCTGGTACATGAAATAACAGAATTTCCTTTCAGCCCTTTACCGAACACTCAAACAAAACTGATGTAATCTGAAGAGCCAAAAATTATTTCATTTACTTACAGTTAGTACTTGCAGCTGTAGGTCCTTTTTCTCTTGTACCAGAGCCACCATTTTTTCTTCCAGTTTGTTCCTGGTGGCTTCTGATTTATCCAGTTCTTCTTTTGTTCTCTCAAACTCTTCCTTCATCATGGCCAGCTCTTTCTCAGTTCCCACACTTTTTAAGAGGGGTTTAAACTTGAAGTACAACTTCATCCAGGGCCACTGCTTGACTTTCATGAATGCACGGATGTTGTACTGGATGCAGAGGATGGACTCCCTGAAACCAAAGTGATCCATCAGATCTGGGAATAAAGCCCATCTCTGAGCAACCTGACCTGGCAGAGGACACACACCTGTGGTCAAACATTTTTTTCAGCTCAAGTCTCCGGAGGTATCCCCTGCACAAAGCCTGGGTCCGTGTGATCATCTGTCCTAAACGTTCATCTCTCATCTCTTCCAGGACACCCAGCAAACCTGCCTTGAAGAACACCTGCAGCCAAAGAACAGACACCACTCATTGCTGGGTTTACATTTCCACACAATGAATGTTTTCTTATCATATGGAAAATTAAACTTTTACCTTAGTGTGTCCGAATTTGTACTGAGTATGATCTATCTCAATGGAAGACAGCAGCTTTTCACACGCCTTCCTGCTATCAATAAACTTTCCTTCTGGGATGGCACTGGCATTCAGAAGGTGGTATCTGATAAAATAAAGGAAAAAGCTTACCCATCAGTACCATTCTAGTGCACAGGATGCCACAAGAACAGCTGTCAGTTTGAAGATACAGAGGAAGGCTGAGTCTGACTCACACCTCCAGCCTCAAATAGCAAAGCAGTAAGAAAAGCAGCAAATAGCAGCTGGTCAGTTCAGTAGGTACCAAGGATGTGTTACAGCCCTCACTGAGACTGAAGGCAGGGACAGTCTGTTCTCTGGACCTGAGAGACTCTGCTCATTTGTGTCACAGTCATTATCACTACTCTAGGGGTCCAGATCATTGGGTTAGCTATAAATTAAAAAAAAATTTGGATTTTAAGAGCAAGGAAACTGCTTTTTTGAACCATATCCGGCTTCTCACATTTCTTCTGTACCATGTAACCCAGAATTAGACTTTGGATCCAGCAATGGACTTCCTAATCCTACACTGAGAGATTATTCCATACCTATTATCAGCATCGATACACAAATCTACCCTCCCACACCAATGACTGGCCAATGCCTTCAGGTAGTACCCAAAACACCATTTCATCCCTTCTCAGTGCCCTGCTCTCCAGCACACCCTGCACAGAGTTGTAAGGGGGGGAATGATTGGTTCGTTCTTAGAGATCTGGCCCTACATTTGCCTTTGTTCTAACACAACGAGCAGATGACCCCAGCTGGGCTGCCCTGAATTTATCAGCCCTTTATAAAAGTCTTATTTGCAGCAGTTCCCATGATAAGATTTTTTGGTTGTGGAGTTTTATCTCTAAATGAATCTGCTAATGCTGTAGGAATGTTAGCATGTAGAAATATTAACCCACTACAAAATTACAAGGTCATGTGGAACTAACTTAGATTTCCTGCTCGAATCCCTTCTTACTGCAACTCTCTTTGCCAGTCAAGCTTAACATTTCATCAAGAAGTAGCATTGGATTTAACAAAACTTCCTCTTTATAAAACCACTCCAGTTAGAATTATTTAAACCACATTCTTCAAGCCTCTACTAGATAGCAGGTGAATACAGGATGTGCATAGACCACCTTCTGTTTTTGTGCTGAAACATGCTTGTGCCCAGTTTGAGAATTAAAGCAAAGAATATCCAAACATTCAAATTAACAGGAATGAATTAAAAATAGTTTTTGGCATACAATATTGAGGAAGGCATCTGGCTGGGCACTGCCCACACAGACTGTGCTATTAGATATGCCTTTTACTTTCCACATGTGTTCAATATTAAAATAGTCTTTTCCTAATAACTGTATCATGGACTGGTTTAGCAAGAGTCTTCTTTCAGATGAGTTTGGCTCAATGCAAACAGAAGAATGTTATTGCTGACCTTTGTTTGAAATCCCCATATGGTATCTTGTTAGGAAATCCTTTCCTGCAGATCCGAATGCCCTCCAGAACTCCATTACATCGCAGCTGGTGCAGAACGAGCTTGTGATCCATCAGGCCTGTGACAGAGCAGCATGGGGACACACTGATGGCTCTAGCATTGCTCTTTCTGCCCCTTTCTATTCTAGTCTATATTTTATGAATTACCTGGGGTCTTCGTTTCATTGGGAATGATGCAACGCACAAAGTGAGGATGAGTTGTTCGCAAGTTAGACATCAGCTTATTCAGATTTTCCTATAAAACAGAGATCATTTATAATCTGTATGTTATCTCAGTTCTCAAAGTGATTTGACTCTTCTGAAAAGCAAAAATTCAGAACTTTCTCCTTACTCTACTAGTGAATATTCTACAATTCTGTGTAGGCATCAGCAAAGTAAATGACTACTACTGAAGAACATCCCTTAAAATGAAAATATGGCTGTGGAGCCAGGTGTGAGAGTCTCTGCCAGAGAACTTACCCGAAAGACTACAGAGACGGTTTGGAAGGAAGAGCCCTTCTTCTTGGCTCCTTTCTTCTTCCCACCACCTTCAGCTGGAAAATGAGATGACAGTCCAGCTGAGGAACTGCTGCAGATCCCTGTGACAGTGTTATAATTGTGCATCTAACACACAGCACACAAGCACTGACTCAACGCTGATCCACATCAGGTGAGAGGTACAGTAGGAAACCCCAAACTGGAAACATAATCCTCCAAGCTTACCTTCATCTATGGAAGCAAAACTGGCATAAAGATGGCATAAAATTTTCATCGATGACTTCTGGTACAGCCCAATGACAGTTTCATTCAGAGGATCCTTGTTCTTCTCCAGCCACCCAGTGATGTTGTAGTCCATTCCAGGATGGAGAAAATGCCCATGGGCTGAATAGAAAAATGGTGTTTTCAAATAAGATCAATTCAAGGTAAATAATACAGAGTGAAAGACATGCTAAAATTGAAGTACTGGAGGTATTTTATAGAGAATTAGCCTGGAGGAGCAGGTAAGCAAGATTTTTTTGTGAACAGATAGCAAGATACTTAAAAGAACTCGTAAGATTTTTATATACAGTTTTGAATTACCCAGACAGTGTGTGGAAAACAAGAGAAGCTAGGCAAAAACTGTGCAGTAACTTTTCAAAATACAGTAGTGACTTCTAATTCAGAAGGAACAAAAAACAAGCAGACATGAGGCTTTCTGGGATGGATGGATGGATGGATGGATGGATGGATGGATGGATGGATGGATGGACGGATGGATGGAATCAGTGTCTTTTTATAAGACAGGATACATTCCCAATCAGTGGATAATTAATTACTCATGTGGGTAATATTTAAAGAAACAGAGGAGGTGAAGAGACCTGAAAGCTTCCCAGAGAGATTGTATTGAAGCACTCAGAGCAAACACTCTCAAGAACCCTTTAAGATTCAATTTGTGTGATTGCACAAGACGCTTAAGAAATTCACCTTTTCTATGAGCTCAATGCAGGCAGCCAGGTCCATGCCAAAGTCAATGAACTCCCATTCAATCCCCTCCTTCTTATACTCCTCCTGCTCCAGCACGAACATGTGGTGGTTGAAGAACTGCTGCAGTTTCTCATTGGTGAAGTTGATGCACAGCTGCTCAAAGCTGTTGAACTAATATTTGAGTAAGTGTGTTAATAGTGTTAAACTGTCTCTGATCAATTGTTTTTCACAGGGAAGTCACAGCAAGGTCAGCCAGACTGACCCAAGAGGGTTTTGATAACAGTGTAAAGAATGTACCATAGGTGTCCAGGCTTACAGAAAAGTAGTGCAGTGCAGCACATGGTTACTGCAGCCTGCATTGGCCATGTTTGGGTGGCCCTAATGTTCATAAACACTGACTCTGTGGGGAGAGAGAGAGCAGCTCCATGGCCATGCTTCTGCCCTGTCTCTTCTCTTACAAAGAGGGTGATGGATCTACAAAGGCAGAAGCAGCTTCAGACAGATTTGCCCTGTTCTTGAGGGCTTGCACTGGGGTGAGGAGGAGGAAACGTCAGAGAAGACAAACAAACTGAAAAAAGCATTTAGAGACAGGCACAAGTCTGAGAGTACTGCAAACCTCAAAGATCTCAAAGCCAGCAATGTCCAAGACCCCAATGAAATGCTGTCTTGGCAGCTTGGTGTCCAGCTGCTGGTTGATGCGCATCACCATCCACAGGAAGAGTTTCTCATAGACAGACTTGGCAATGGCATTCACTGCCTGGTGCACCTGCAGGGAGATGTCCCACACCTGTGTCAGGGCAGCCCCAGAGCAAAACACCCCTCACCATGCCCACACACACTGCACCAACAGGCCTTAATGGCCCCGACCATGCTCGGCTGTGACCTGCACCCATTCCTTTTCCTTAGGGAGAGGATGGTCCCTGCTGCTCCTTGATGCTCACCTGATCCACTGTTTGGCCCTTCAGGACATATTCATTGCCCACTTTCACCCGGGGATAGCACAGAGCTTTCAGCAAGTCTGCTGAGTTCAGGCCCATCAGATATGCTGCTTTGTCAGCCTCTGGAAAACAAAATAATAACTTGAAATACTTTCTTCTTATCTCAGACACGCACAGGGCATTGGGACCAGCCAGAGCTCACTCTGAAACTTGTAACTCAATTGGCTTTACCCCATCCACAAATCTTGACTAACATTCTCCTTCACTTTTCTGAACAGCCTTGTAGGTCTGGTCCTCATGACAGAGTGGCAAGAGCAGCCCCAATAGACATGGTGAAACCCAGGAGGGCACTGTTGATGGGACAACACAGAGTTTTCCCCATAAGCCACTTCTCCACAATGTCACCCAGGCAGAACAAGTGTGTGTGTGTAACCAGAAACTGGAGAACCCTACAGTGATGTGCCCCAGGCACAGGGTCCTACAGCAGGAATAAACTGGATGCAGAAAGTGCCTCTATTTGATGCAGTAAGATGTGGCATTTACATTCTCTGAAAAAATCCCTTTGCCCAGGATTTTTCTCATGGGAAGCTGAGAAGCCTCAGAAAAAAAGAAAACAATTCTTATCTCATTTGATTCTCCTGTGTTTTGCTGCTTTGGAATGTTTGGAGATTGTTTATCCACAGTGATTGTTTCATTGGATTGTGGTGTGAGTTGTTTTGGCTCTTTGGCCAACCAGGGCCAAGCTGTGTCGAGACTCTGGAGAGAGTCACAAGTTTCATTATTATCTTTTTAACATTCTAGAAGTATCTTTTTTAGTATAGTATAGTATTATTTTATATAATATTGTATAATAAAATAATTAATTAGTCTTCTGAGAACATGGAATCTGGTTCATCATTCCTCCCTGCCACGAGGATCCCTGCAAATACAATAGTAAGTTGAAAATCAAACCTCCTTTTTATGTTTATCAAGGAACAATTACATCTCTCCTGGAAGACTCCCTCCATTTCTAGTGAAAAATGGCATGAAAACAGTCAGAAATACTTCTCTCCCAGCCAGGGAGGTATTACCTTCTGTGCCATCAGGCTCTGCCTGCTCCTCACGTGGTTTCTGCTTGAATTTCATGTTCCCGTAGTGCAGGATTGCCCCCGTCAGCTTGTAAATCCCCACTCTCTCATCAGGGCTGAAGCCCAAAGTGTCAATGGCTGCCTGCACACCAAGACAGATCAGCTGGTTTTAACAGTGGTGAGAGTAAAAGTGAGACTGTAAAAGTCTCTCCTTGCCCACTGCACTCACATCTGTGGCAACCAGCTCCTCCTGGTCATCGATGCTGGCCACAGAGATCTGCCCTTGGCTGATGAAGGGGTAGTCATAGGGGTTGGCTGTGACAAGGAGCATCTCTGAAAGGCAAACACGGGAGTGAGAGCCAGAGCCTGGCAGGGAAGATGGAACAATGGCTCAGCAAGGTTTCACAAGCTCTCTTGCATCCAAAACTCCTGTTTTTTTATTAAGAGACCAGAAAGAGTAAAGCCTTTCATCTGCCTTCTCCAGGCTGAGCAGTCTTTCCAATTTAATATGTTGTCAACTGAGAGCTGAGCACTCAGCAAGGTGTGAGGCAGAGTACATTGGCCACCCCTGTGCCTCACCTGCACACAGTTTGTGTTAGAACTCACCCAGGGAGGATAAATGGAGGTGGGGTAAAGCCCTAGTGTTATGCAGAGACACAAATACAGCTTGGGGAACCTGGGCAGGGCAGAGGCTGAAAAGCTGAGGACATAAATCAGCACATGACCCCTGCTCTGCATGTGACACGGCACTGTGCCACTGAACCCTCTGCCACTGAGCTGGCACACGGAGGGAAATGCCTCCCATGCTGACTTTACTCAATATCACCAGGTGGTGGCTGTCCTTACCAAGCAGTTCAGGCTTCTTATTGGAGAGGATCTGGTAGAAGATATGGTAGCTTCTCTCAGCTTTCAGCTGGAAAGTGACTCTTGACTTTTCCAGCAAGTCTGTAACATGCATGCACATTTTAGACATTTTTCAGGTTCTTTATGTTTTAGCAAGGCTGTCTGCCCCCCTCAGTTACTCACAGGTCTCAATGTCACCAGAGGCCAGCTTTCCAGAGGTTCCAAAATGGATACGAATGAATTTACCCTGGCAAGCAGACAAAAGTGGGGGTCAGTGCAGCAATCTCAGAGTGTTTTTATCTCTTCAGTCTTCATGACAGTATCACCAAATCTGTCTGATTAGCTTTGATATATAAAGATAGATAAAGGGGAACATGTTGCTGCAGCAATGTGAGCATGAAACAGCTGCTAACATATCAGCATTTCATAAAAACAAAGAAATGGGTCAGCAAGAACATTTTTCCCAGCCAAGAGGCACACAGTCACAGCTAACAAGCAGGCAAAGGGCATTAGGAACACAGGAGGGCAGAGGGACAGACACAGGCTGACTCACAAAGCGTGAGGAGTTGTCATTTCTCACGGTCTTGGCATTCCCAAAGGCCTCCAGCAGTGGGTTGGCGCTGAGGATTTGATCCTTGAGCGTACCCTGCAGGAATAATTGAATAATTACTGAAAAACACCGTGAGCCACGTGGTAGGAAGAGGTGGCTCTATGGAATGATTACATGTGCAGCCACATGCACTTCATTTCAGCTCTGCAGTGCCACTGCTGCACCTTCTCAACTCCAGCACCAAGAACCAGCACTGGGGGTGAACAACAAACAACTCATCGCCTCTTATTCAGAATTTCTCCCACAGTCAGAGCTGTCAGGTGTCAGCCACAGGGACAGATGGATCCATGTTAAGGAACTGAAGTCTCTGATTCTTCCTAGGCACCAGTCGTGTTTCAGTCTAGGTAAAGCTACACCTTAGTGGCAGTGGCAGTTCTGGTGGCTTGTATTTGTTGTGATCCTAATGCACATCAGCCCCTGGTCCTACTGCCTTTCAAAGAGTGGCTGAAGCTAATAAAAGATATTTTGAGGTAAGTGTGTGTCACCAGTGCTGTCCACAAGGGGATAACATCCTGAGCTGCCCTGCACCAAGCCTCTCCTCCTCACACCTTCAGCTGGGGCTCCTTCTTGGTGGCCGTGTCCCCGCTGGCGGCGATTGTCGCGTAGTACTGGATGACGCGCTTGGTGTTCACCGTCTTCCCAGCACCCGATTCTCCACTGGAGAGAGAAGGCTCAGGGTGAAGAATGAACTGCCCACTTCGGGTTGGAGACAAAGCTCGAAGTGGCAGATGCACTTACGTGATCAGGATAGATTGGTTTTCACGATCTGTGGGAGGGAAAAATACCTGCAGTCAGAGAAGCTGTAGGGCAAGTGCTGGCTCTCAGCTAGCTGGGACCTGGTGTCCATGGGGGAATGAAACAAAATCTCTGCAGGCAAAACTGAAAAGATGCATGGTCTACTCTCCACCTCTCTTTCCCTCCCTATACTCCACTCTTTGTCTTCTCTCCTCCTCCTTTGTTCATCCTGTGCTTGTTTCTGCTTCTGTCTTTTCCATTTTTTACCTTTAATACTATTAAATATGGGACATGACTTTATTCAAAGAAAACCATATGTTTTGATGGTAATATTTCTATCAGCTCTGTTCTGGATCTACCTGCTGTTCCTAGAAGCCACATGCAGGTGTGCTTTCCAGATAGTGTGTCCTGTCCTAGTGCAACTGCCCTTTGCAGAGGTCTCTGTTAGGCTGTTTAGCTTAGTACTTAGACCAGAAATACAGATAATGTGCAGCACAACAGCACAGCGCTTCAAGAATAAAGAAAATATTTCAGGAGATGGGGAAAACTGTCTGGAGCTGGCTTTGCATCAGTTAGGGTTTATAATAAAAACCAAGCAGATAATCTGCAATATTACCAGATAAAGCACTCTGCAAGAGCTGGCAAAGATGACTGAGCCATGGCAGTACAGAACGGTGCTTGGCAGAAGCAACACACTTCTGACACACTTTTTTATTCCAAGTCTGGTCAAAACAGAAAAGCTCACCAGTCAGCATGAACTGATAGGCGTTGTCAGAGATGGAGAAGATGTGTGGAGGGGCCTCCTGGCGCTTCTTGCCGCGGTAGCCAGTGACCACCTCGGGGTTGTATACCGGCAGCCACTTGTAGGGATTGACAGTGACGCAGAAGAGACCCGAGTAGGTCTGCAGGAATAAAACAGGGGTCTCACTGAAGTCCAGCTACTGCAGCTGTGTTTTCTCCTTTGCCAGAAGAAGGAACTTACATAGATCATCCAGGAGCTGTAGCGGTCCTTGAGGTTGTAGAGGACGGCAGGTTCGTGCAGGTGGGTCAGCATGGCCACATCCTCAACTCTGTCAAACTTAGGGGGGTTCATGGCATACACATCATCAGGTTTGACAGCAACTGTCTATAATCCAGAGACAAAGAGCAAACCTTGGTTCAGCAGCTCCTGGCAGTCCTTCCAAAACCACAGAGAAGTAATAACATCTCTAAGGCTGCTCTAATTCACATTTTTCTTTCTGTTTAACTGTGCTAAGAAAAATATGGCTATTTCAGGGCAAACATTGCAGCCAGCCAGGAAATCTACAACACAGGTACATTGACAGGATGTCATTTTCCCGGAATACATGATTTGTGCTGGAACAGATCTTTCAACACATTATCACTGCTAATGAACTTTAGGTCTCTGCTGCTCATGGCTGTAAGATCCTGGGGCACATCTGCTGGCCAGCCAGCCTCTCAGGCTCCAGGGTTCCCATGACAGTGCCAGAGAGCTGGGACACAAACAGCACAACTCATCAACAGCAAATCCATCCTTGGGACAGACTTGTTCCACTCCTGTCTGTGGCCATTCCCAATTAAAGAACAGCTTTGTCTCTACCAAACAGCACTGTCTGCTGGGCTCACACGGTGAGGGACCATCCTGTCCCACTGCCAGAGCCTGTGGGTTTGTTGTGGAGGTGGCAGATGTTCACAGCTGGCAGCAGCTTAACTCAGCCACTGCTTTCTAAAAGCCTTGTAGCACCTACTGCCAAGATGTTGGTCGTGGTTGTTCTTTGAGCTGCTGCAGTTATTCTTACAAAAGGCATCAGGGCACAAGCTGCTAAGACACTTCAGCGTTTTGGAAGATTAACACCTTGGATGCTCCTCTGGGAAACTGCAGCCAGTGACACTGACAATTTCACTTGCAGAGTTATCTGTCGGCTCAGCAACCAGTAAAGGAAGGAATTTATGAGTGGATATGACAGCGTTAGCTGAGAAAGTGTTAAAAACTAAGCTAAGACTGGCAAGGCTATGATCCAACCTGGCTTAGAGCATTGCCTGATTTTTAGAGCCCAAACCAAGAATAATTATCCAATGAATACTTTTATCCCACCATCCAGAGCTATGCTTTCCTGTGGAGGCTGTGCTGATCCCAGTCAGAGGACAGGGCAGGGCAGATTTCTTGCCTCAGCTAGCCTGGTGCTCTCTCAGTTTGTCCCCAGCAGATGCCCTGGGTCCCTAAGCAGGGCTGGGAGAAGGGCCAGAAGGAATGCACTTACTCTGCCATCCTCTGTCTCAACAGTTATCTTCCCATCCTGTGCAGCCTTAATCCTCCCCCTGGTGTACTCCACCTCGGGGTCAGCCACAAAGCAGTAGGTTTTGGCATCAAAAGGCTGGTTCTGGGCTTCTATTCTCTCCTTCTCGGATTTGCGCAGGTACGGCGCGGCCTCACCAAAAATCTCCATGGCAGTCTCTGCTCGTGGCTCTGAAAGACAGACCCTGCTGGGCTGCTCCCCTGTGTGCAGCTGAACACTCACCCCCAGCTGGCTGCTCCAAGCTCACCCTCCCAGCTCTCAGGTGTGTGCAGTGAGACCTTGAGAGAGTTGTTTGCCTTTCCAAGCTGGAAGGTACAAAGGCAGTGAAGAGCTACCACCCTCCGTGGCCCCAAGGAAAGGAGATCCATGTCCAAAGGAGGGGGGGGGCTCCCCAGGAAAGTGATCAGATCTGAAGGATTCATTTAGTCATTAGAAAAAGTGAGGCCCTGAAGATTATTTTTCTTCTGGTTTTTAATTTATGACTTCCCCCACTCTCTGTTAACATGGAAGCTGTCCTAATCCTCTGGTGAGCAGCCACAGCGGGCAGAAATGGACACGTGCTTGAAGGAGCTCATGGAGGGGGAAAAACAGGGACCTGCCCACGGTGGGCACAGGAGAAAAGCCAGCTCATGCCAGCCTGGGTAAGCTGTTAGTTTTCATGCCTCAAATCCTCACCTTAACAATCAGCCAACAGAAAGCAGGAAGGAACCAGCTGACATCTCGTATCTCTGAAAGAGAAAGAGTCAAAGGTCAAACTTCAACTGAGCTGCAGCCTCTCCAAAGGCCCAAAACCTCTCATGCAATTAACTGTGCCTTTTGAAGGCCAGAAAAGTTCACCACAGAGCACTCCTTCCCTGCCCAAGGAATGGCCCACCAGGGAATCTACAGTAGAATTCCCACCACAGTGCCACAGTCCTGTGAGGCTCCAAGCATGGGGAACAGGACCTGTGGTAGGAGCCTTCTGTCCCTCTGCAGGTCAGTCACAGCATGGCCTTGAGCTTGGCCAGGACATCAGGAGCCACCAACAAGGGCTTCTCCCTGACAGCTTTTATAGGCTCAGTTTAGTCCCCCTGGTTCAGCCCTGTCCCTATATTTGGAAGGAGGGGATCGACACTCCCGCCTGCTCACCAATTCATGTTCATTTTTTGCCATATACAGCTTGTAAAGGAAGGACCTGCTCTTCTCTCCCAATTTTAGTAACTCTGGGATTTTGTAGACTTTTCTTTGGTGGAAATTTCCTTTTCTGGGAATGTGCTCTCCTGCCAGCTACAACCACAGCCAGCACTTCACTCTCACCAGCACGTCAAACAAATGATAGCACAGAAGGGACCTGCCTCACTGCTCCTGCTCACAGACTGCCTGGGCAGAGCTGCACAGTGGAGAAGGACCCCAAACCAGCTCTGTGTGGGGTGGAGAGCAAGGCCATGGGAAGGAAAAAGAGGATTCATGCAGGATCAGTTATGGTAATTCTTGTGCCTTACACCACTGCATGGGTCAGGGGGGACCGGATGAGAGGCCATGACTGAAATACGATGTGACAAACCTGGCAAATTAGAGACTCATCAGAAAGAACAACACCCAAATCTGGCCAGGGATGGACGGTTCACAAATGTCAAATCATGAATACACCACACAAGTTTAGCTTTGAATACAACTTTGGCTGCCCACGACGTTCACTGCCCTTGCTGCCAAGAGGAGCTGCAGAAGCCCCATTACACCATGCTGAGGAGGGTCTCAGACATGTGTGACTGCAATTCCCACAGAAGGATACTGGGGAAGAGGGCTTTAGATGGAGGTCTCCCAGTCCCAAACACGCTGTTTGGTTGGTACAGAGCAGCCAGGCAATGGCTGGCAGGGCAGCACTTGGCAGAACAGTGGGAGCCTTCACACACAGCTGGAGTGAGCTCATGGTGCAGGAGAGGAAGGGTCTCCTCCATCCCAAACCATTCTGGCTGTTCTGGTCATCTGTCACTGTCCAGCAACCCCTGTTTGCCCTCTGCACTGCATGGACACTCACCCAAGGCTGCAGGACCAGCCTTCCCTCAGCAGAATGAAGCCAACAAGCCTTGTCTAAAGCCAGGAGCCCCCTCCACCCTCCCCAAACAGCGCCTGCCTCCTCCCCAAACAGCTCCACTCTGATCTGGAGCACCCTGGGCAGCTGCAGCTGCTGCCACAGCACAGGGGATGTCACCCCTTTGGGACAGTGGCTGACCCTGTTTGTGTTGGCCGGACAAGAGCCGAGCCTGTGGGCTTGCAGCAGAGTCACTGTCACTAGAGTTTTGAAAAACATGTTTCATGTTGCCCTTAATTTCATTTAAGGTCACTAAAAATGGACACCACAGCCACACATCTCATGAACCATGAATTCCTAGAATCCCCCTAAGCCTGGAGGATGAGGGAAAAGCTTATTTTAGCACACACCCCTTGTGATCGGCCCTTTGAACTCAGCCCAGGGGATGTGCTGGGAGCAAAAACTGAGGCACACCAGGCCAGAGAGCAGGCTGGGGCTTTGTCCTGACACCAAATTGCCACTGTAATTCCGAAAGGACATTTCCAGCTCCCAGGCATGCTCAAGGCAAGAGGACTGGACCTCACCCACACAATCATTGGCGTTGGAAAAGACCTCCAAGATCAAGTCCACTTATGACCGATGCCCACCTTGTCACCAGCCCAGAGCTCTGAGTGCCACATCCAGCCCTTCCTTGGACACCTCCAGGGATGGGCACTCCACCACCTCCCCGGGCAGCATGTTTCAGTGTTTGATCACCCTTTCAGAGAAGAATTTCCTCCTGGTGCCCACCCTGAGCCTCCCATGGCACACCTGAGGCTGCTCCCTCTCCTCCTGTCCCTGTTCTCTGGGAGCAGAGCCTGAACCCCCTGGCTCTCCCCTCCTGTCAGGAGCTGTGCAGAGCCACGAGGTCCCCCCTGAGCCTCCTTTGCTCCAGGCTGAGCCCTTTCCCAGCTCCCTCAGCCCCTCCTGGTGACCCAGACTCTTCCCCAGCTCCATCCCCTTCTCTGGACCTGCTCCAGCCCCTCCGTGTCTTTGTTGTCATGAGTGGCCCAGAACTGGACAGAGCACTCAAGGTGCCTCAGCAGTGCCCAGCACAGGGGGTGGTCACTCTCCTGGTCCTGCTGGCCACACCATGGCTGGTACAGACCCAGCTCTCATTGGTGTTCCCTGCTGGCTAAGTCCCCACACCCAATGGAAGCAGAACAAAGAGAACCCTCAGACAGCAAGAACCACTCTCCTGGTTTTGTCTTGCTGGTTCAGGTGTCCAGGTGGGAGCAGAGTGCAGGAAAAGAAGTGGCACTGAGCAATGACCCCCCGCCAGGTACAGCTGCTGCTCTGTGCTGCCAACATCACTGCAGACACAGAGCTGTCCTGAGGTGAAGGTCACGAGGGTGCTGTCACCACGAGCCACATTGCCTTGCAAGGCTCTCTCATCCCATCCTGGTGCTGCCAGGGAGGTTTTGTTGCTGCCCTTCATTCAGAAAAGGGCACACTCATAGCTCAATATACCCCAGCAAATTAAAGGTGGATTTACTGGTTGGTGTCTATCTATTTTTGCACAAAGAACTTCGGGAGAACAAGAAGGTTTTGTAAGCTGCAGCTGAGTAAGTTCCCTGGCACGCTGAAGGAACCTGCTTTATTAAACTAGTAATACACAGCTTAAAACATGGAATGAGCTGGCTCTTGCACAGAGACAGGTGCAATCGTTCCTGCCCAGGTCTCCCCAGCACAGATCTTCACAGCAACATGCACAACTGATGTGGAGCTGCTGGAAGTCAGGGGCTAGGCACTTCACCACCAGTATAACTTCCTTTAAAAAATTATCAGTTTCTAATTGAACCAAACCAAACTTTGAAATTCTTTTCTAGGAGGCAAATAGTCAGCTTTTTGCCTTTGCTTTTAGGCAACCAAACCTAAGAGCAGTCCAGTAAAACTGAGGGACTTGTCAGTCATGTCTAAAGCAAGGACTGTGGCCATTCCCCCTGCAGCACAGACCAGCACATCTGCTTCACTGAGCACAGACTCACTGCCCAAGGCTGGGGAGCTCCTGAGCAGCACACACTGCTGGAACCACAGCTCCTGGGAGCTGCAGGTGAGTACACTGCTTCAGCAGCAGGGCCTGGAAAGCCTTGGTTGCAGCCTCAGTGCATGGGGACAGACTGTTCCCAGCTCTGACTTAGCACTCCGTGCTTGTTCCACCTGGCTGAAAACACATTCTGATTTGCAGAGAGGTGGTGAAGAGCCCAGCTCAATCCTCAGCCTCCAGCTCCATCCTGCAGTTCACTGAGACCATGTGAGAGCCTTCATTTGTCCCAGATCCTGGCTGTGGGCTGACGGAAGCACATCTTAGGAATGCCAGGTCGGTGCTGGGACCGGGCAAGTCTGACCAAGTGAGAAAAGGCTCAGAAAATGTAGGTACCTTCAAAGGCACTGCAGAAGGGGAGAAAGAGCAACAGCGTTTCCATCCACACATGACCTTGACCCAAGCTGGAGATGAGGAAGACTTGCTTTCTTCCTCGGGCTGTGAACAAGGATGGCGTGACTGCAGGAGATTTGACTACAGACCTCCTGAGAGTCCTTCCTATCTGTCTTTCCATCATCTGGACTGAAAATGCAACAGAGGGCATTTGCAGTTGTTTAAGGTCACAGTCTCTGCACCTCTTCAGGCCCTGATTCTGCCTGTGCTGGTGCTGAGAACACTCCTAAAGCAGCCAAGCTTCACCCGTGTGGCTTAAGTGTCACTCATCAGCTGAGCTCCTCCACGGGCTATACAGGCAGCACATGAGGAATGCGCTGCCTTCCTTGGGTGGACAAACGGAGCTGATCCTCATTCCTCAGACATCGTGTCACTGGTCCCCAGCCTGGGATGGCAGCAGCTCCTCAGCTGGGGTTATGGATGCCAGCCCCTCAGAGGAGATGCTGTTTTCCACTGGTATTGCCAGGCCAGGGCTGTGGGCACACACAGCACAGCTCTGTGGGTTGGGCCCTGCCAGGACTGTGCTCTGCCCTCCCCTGTCCTTGGCGTACCCAGGGGTCCCTGCTGGCTTTGGGGAACACAGGTTCACCATGCACAGCACCAGGCTCTGACAAATCTGGTTCCCAAATGAAACCTGTCACTGGTAGAGTTTCCAGAGACCCACCTGGCCCTGCTCAGCCCCAACCAGCACCCAGCACAGCCCCAAGAGAGGAGCCCTGTCACAGACCTTCCCTGCCAGAGCTGAGCTCCCTCCCCTGCACTTGGGGACACAGGGAATTTGGGTACAGAGGCAGTTTGCTTCATTTTTAATATTGGACAGGAAAAATACTGAATATCAGCTGACTAAGCATCTCCAAGCACCCCCAGCACATTCCCTTCCCCTCCTGGACCAGCTCTGCCTCATCCCAGTGAGCACTTAGCACAACCCTTGGGCCTCCTAAACACTCAGGGAACACATCTGTGCTCCCTGCTGTCACTGAACGGGGCAGGGAAATCCTAATAGTTGCCCAAACAACATTTTTTAGTTTTTAATAAAGAAAAAAGCAAATGCCAAAGAACAAGAAAACCCCACAACCAACCACGACAAAACTAAAACTCCTCACTTCCAAAGAAAGTCTTCCTCCTGGAAAAACCAAGGGGAAAGTGATGGGCATGGTCAAACTGGGAGGCTGAAAAAAGCAGGACATCATTGGGTCCCACTGCCACGAGGCAAGGGACTTGTCACTCCATCTGAAACCTTTCTGGGCCTTTGCCACACTCCCCCCAGCCTGCCATAAGCTTCCTGGGTCAGCTGGCTCTGCCTTCCAGGGCACAGAAAAACAAGGTAAAGGACACGACACTGCTGCCAAAACTTCTGGGAGAAGACTGGAATCCTGTATTTGTCTCTGTGGTACGAGTCAGCTGCAAATGAGCTTTAGAGAAATCAGTGGAACAGGTGACACTTCCCAGGCTGCAGGTCATGTGCTGATTTTGCAAAGCCTCAGGAGAGAGGTCTGCCTTGTCCAAATTCTACTTTAACTTGGCTTAGCTGTAACACCAATTCTTTCTTCTGAGCAGGTGCCTCTAACTAATTCGTTTTATTTTTACTTACCATTGCTTCATACAATCATGACTTTCCAGACTGTTCTCTGTGCAGAAAAGGTATTTGGCCCTAACACACTGCTGCAATATTTAAAATACAGGCCTGATGTGACACAGACCTGAAGGTGAAACCCGTGGAAGAGAGCAAGTATCCAATATACATAAAAATTCATGAGCTATCACTGCTCTGAAACAGGTGAAGTTTACTTGTGTTCACAATTTTGGAAAGACAGAAATTCTCCACAGGCTTTGCACCTTCCCTCAGATGGGAACCTTCTCTTCCAACCCCCACGCTCAGGAGAACACCAGTGCTACGTGCAGGAACACCTGTGCTCAGTCTAACACCTCTGGAACTCACACCAAGAACTGTTCTGGTTTGTCTCCTGTGGGCCCTTCTCTGAGCTCCAGCTCAAAAAAGCACATTCAGCTCCTGATGTGCATGACTAGAAATAAATACTGCTTGCTAAAAAGAAGGAAAGCAGAGCAAGAATATGAAATTTGATCGGTATACAAAGTTTTGATGACATTCTAGTTAAACCTAAAGAAATAAAAATATGCATCGCCTTTACAAATCAATCTTTATTTTCAAATGCTGCACTGCTTAAAATGTATCTGATTGCCAGCCCTGTGCACGCTGACAGCCTCCCTCCACCCTCCCCACTTCCCCCAGCACAAGCAGAGCAATTACACACCATAATTTGCACCAGAAGAAAAACCTATTTGCACCCCAATTCTCTTTTCCTTATAAGTGAACAGTGTTCACCTGGAAAAACCACCAGAAAATTACATCTCATTTCTGCATTCAGATGAAATGATCAGGCTTGCTACAGGGCTGGTCCCATGCGTGGAAGCAGTTGTGCTGTCAGTGCTCTTCACCTTCTCAACCTAGATGAAGAAGCACTCTTAAGGCTCCCCTGCTTCTAATAGTGCAGCTGCCTCTCCTAGAAGGCAAAACAGTGCAGAGAAACCAGAGGGCAGAGCTCCTCTGAGAACGCCATGGCCCCATCCAGTAATGGCTTTGCATCAAGTAATCTTCCTGCAGCGACGTTTGTCCTTGCTGATGTCTTGCCAGACCCGCAATTTTATTTTTTTTTTACCAGCAATATTTTCCCAGCAACACACACGTTCTTCCCAAGTGAAAAGTGCTTTCCATCCTTTGCTCCCAGAAATGTTTCAGAGAAGTCCCAAATTTTATTCTGTACACAAGATCTTGTTGGAAATTATATCCATTGCAAAGGCTCTGTAGAGATTTTTGGTAATGGGAATTTGCAGAAACATGGATGCCTCTCTTATTTGGAAGAAAGGAGACCTGCTTGACAGGATGTTACACTTGTGTGCTTCTGCTTTAACTCCAGTGTCCAATCACAGCCAAACCCACAGGTGACATTCACAGCAACCTTTGAGGACCTTCTGTTTTAGGATCTGTATTTTCTCATGTGTGCAGCAATAGAAGACGAGATCTCAGCACTCTTCTTGTTCTGGCCATAGTAGTCCACAAAGTCACCGTCGGGGCCGAGGAGGTACATAATTATTGTGTGATCCACCTGCAAGAGAGCACAGCGTGGCTTGGGCAGGGACCACAACATCACAGAGCCCAGCTCAGACGGGAAATGCGGGATCGGGATCGGGACTGGCTGTGGGATACAGGGAAATGTGGGATTGGATTGGGACTGGCAGTGGGATACAGGGAAATGTGGGATTGGGATTTGGGATCAGGATCAGCAGCGGGATACAGAAAAATGTGGGATTGGATTGGGACTGGCAGTGGGATACAGGGAAATGTGGGATTGGGATTTGGGATCAGGATCAGCAGCGGGATACAGAAAAATGTGGGATTGGATTGGGACTGGCAGTGGGATACAGGGAAATGAGGGACTGGGATCAGCAGTGGGATACAGGGAAATGAGGGATTGGGATCAGCAATGGGATACAGGGACATGCGGGATCGGGATCAGCAGTGGGATACAGGGACATGCGGGATCGGGATCAGCAGTGGGATACAGGGACATGCGGGATTGGGATCAGCTGTGGGATACAGGGACATGCGGGACAGGGCCGCCCCCTGCCGGCGCACTGCAGCCGCCTCACCCGTGCACATCCCGGATATTCCAAGTGGATTTGTACCAAAATTAACAAAAACACTGCAAATTTATTTAAATGACACTGCAAGTGCTGTCTGCACCTAACCGTGGCCAGATCTTTCTCAGCAAAGACACAGAGTTCTGGCTCTGGAGGCCATGATTGCTCAGAACTGAAATACAGCCGTGCTCTGAGTTCAGCTGCATTAGAAATTAGAAATCACAGCAGCTTTGGAGCACACAGGAAAAGCCAGTCAAATATGATACAGATCTGAAGAAATTCAACTATTGCCAGGCTTGCTAGCTCCTGTGCTACTGTCAGCACTTCTGGGCTTGTTTAGAACACATTTTGTTAAGATGCTGAGCTTGTAGTAGGGCATTGTGGTTCTGACAGGTGAACATACCACTGCACATGGAACTTCAGTAAAGATCCAATAGCCGGTTTTAAAATGTTCATTCTGCTCTTATCCAGTCTTTAGTAGGCAAAGATGCTTTTACTCACTATGTAATCGTTGTCCTCATCCTTGGGCCCTTCACTGTAGTACACACGGTATGCTTTAGCCACTTGGTCAATCTGTGCCTTGCTACCAGTCAATCCCACCAGCTTCGGAGAAAATTCTAGACAGAAAGAAGACATTTACACATTTTGGTGAAAAGAATCCCTTCAAGAGGCTCCTTTTTAGTGCTCTGTACTACATGCTATGAGACAGGGAGGAAGAAAGCAGGAATACCTTTAACATATCTGGCAATGGCTTCTGGGTTGTCCCTCTCAGGATCGATGGTGATGAAGAGTGGGGTCAGATTAGGCAAAGATGGAATTCGATCTGTGATATGAATGGTTAATATTTATTTTAGAAAACAAGGCATCATCTCTCATCTTCCTTCAAAGAAACTCATAGCCATGTAACATCAATCCAAGCCCACCCCAAGTGACCAGACCACGTTGTGCAGTTTTATTTATGCAATTTCTGAAGGAAGCAAGTGCCATGAGATGCAACGCTCTGCGCTCCCAGACCCTGAATTGCCATACCAATTTCATCTACCACCGCAATCATTTTCTCCAGCTCATCAGGACAGATGTCAGGGCAGTGAGTGAAGCCAAAGTAGATCAGCACCCACTGGCCAATGTAGTCCTTGCTGCTCCTGGGCTGTCCCTCGTGGCTGACGAGGGAGAAGGGCCCTCCCAGCAGCGGCTTCCCAATGCCTCGGTTTCGCTCCTTCTCCAGTTCTACAAAACACAAGTGGGAATCAAACACACCCATGCCACAAGGCACAATGCTTCCCAGGCAAGCCGAGTCAGACACTGCTCAGGGTCGTGGCAAGATCCGCCAGCGCCTGTCATGCAGACACCCAATGTGCACGTGCCTTCCAGAAAGCGTTCCTTTTGGACAAAACCAAATCTACCACTAAATTCCTTTGGAACATGATATTATCTTTCACTGTTACCCGATTGTATTTTTGTTTAAAAAGGGAAAAAATAAAGACAAGATACCTGGCCTGCTGCGAAACAGCAAAACCAGCATCTGTTGAAAACCGAACACACCCTAAAAGCTGCAATAGGTCTGTTTTCAGCCGTAAATGCATTAAAAGGAAATGTGTGGGCAGCTGCTGCAGGAGAGGGCAAAGCTCAGGGGCTGCACAGCAGGAACCCAATGAACCCACAACACCCAGCTCCGTGTGTGCTGCACAGGCTGGCACGGCCAAACACAACTATTCCATCCTAAGAACTTTAAAACGCTCGAATTGCTTTAAAACGAACCTTGAATTGCTTTAAAACGAACCTTGAATTGCTTTAAATTTCTGAAAATTTTCTGCGGCACTTCCGTAAACACAGGCACGAAGCGGCCGTGTGGAAAGCGGTACAGTGACGATGCCCAGGCAGGTAAAATACGTCTGAATATAAAACCCACATCACCTAAACACGACAAACGCTTCATCTGAACACGAAACGCGACACCCCCGGTCTAAGAAGCCGCGCCTGGACGGGCTGTTCGGGTCCAATCCTAGCTATGGCCCCCAGCCCACACGATCCCACACGGACAAAAGGCAGACAGCGCAATACAACACCCCCGGCGCTGCTCCCGCTCCCCGCACTCACTCTCCTCCTTGTGCCGCTTCATCAGCTTCATGCCGGCCAGCAGCCCCCCGCCCAGCACCACGGTGGCCGCCAGCGACCGCCACGACACGAGCTGCGGGGGACAAGGGTCTGGTGACTGCCCGGGGCACGGAGCGGCCCGGCCCGCGCTCCCTCCGTCCCTCAGCCCCTCACTCACCCGCCTCTGCGCGCCCGCCCGCGGCCCGCGGCCCGGCGGCAGCTGCGACAGCGGGCGGCTGCGGGGTGCGGGCAGCAACCCCGAGCCCCTCACGGGCCACAGCGGCCACAGCCCGCCCGCAGCCGCCACAGCGCCGCCGCCCCCGCCATGTTCCCGCCGGCCGCGCCGCCCCTTCCGGCCCGCCCGAGGCCGCCATGCAGGCTGCGCCGCGCCTCGCCTTCGGGGTCATCGCCGACGTCCAGTTCGCGGACGCGGAGGACGGGCACGACTTCTCCGGCTGCCGGCGGCGCTTCTACCGGCACAGCCTGCGCTTGCTGCGGGAGGCGGTGCGGGAGTGGGCCGGCGAGAGCCCGCCCATAGACTTGGTGCTGCAGCTGGGCGATAGCATCGACGGGCAGAACGCGCGGCGCGGCGAGTCCGAGAGCGCCCTGCAGCAGGTGCTGGAGGTGCTGGCGCAGCTCTCGGTGCCCGTGCACCACGCGTGGGGCAACCACGAGCTCTACAACTTCAGCCGGGCGCGGCTGGCGCGCAGCGGGCTGTACAGCCGGCCCGCGGGGGGCTCGGACGGGCCGGCGGACAGCGAGTGCCACGCGTACCACTGCAGCCCGGCGCCGCGGCTGCGCCTGGTCGTGCTCGACAGCTACGACATCAGCACGCTGGGCGCGGAGCCCGGCAGCCGCCGCTACCAGGAGGCCCTGCGGGTGCTGCGGAAGAAGAACCACAACGAGGATCTCAACAGCCCCGAAGGTACCGGCGGCTTGGCAGGGGCGCGGCCGGCCGAAGGTTCGCTGTCCGGAGCTGGCGGTGCTGACAGCGGCATGCAGGGGCTCAAGCGTTGCCACGCTGGGCGCGGAGCCCGGCAGCCGCCGCTACCAGGAGGCCCTGCGGGTGCTGCGGAAGAAGAACCACAACGAGGATCTCAACAGCCCCGAAGGTACCGGCGGCTTGGCAGGGGGGCGGGCGGCCGAAGGTTCGCTGTCCGGAGCTGGCGGTGCTGACAGCGGCGTGCAGGGGCTCAAGCGTGCCCGCTCCCTGCTGTCAGATGCTCCCCCGTATGCCTGGTGCTGCTGCGGTGCCCTGCTCTGTGCCCCGCAGAGCTGCTCCAGAGAACCGACTCCTGCCCGCCCTGCCCCATGCCGCGGGGAAACCCAGCCCTGTTTGGGTGGTGTGAGCAAAACTCCCCAAAACACTAACAAATAATCTTCTTTGTGCAAGGGGGCCGGAGTTCTGCTGCAAGAAATGCAAAAAAAAAAAGGAAGCTCTCAGCAGCTCCTCTCAAAAAACTCATTTCTATGGGTGGCTTCTTCCCTCCTCGCCAATTATCAATTAATGCAAAACCAGCACAACTCCCATGGAAATACGAGGGGGAAAAAAAATTAGCTAGCCCATATATGTTAGCTGCAGAAGACATGTAGTTGGTCTGGTGAGGTACAGATGGAACCTGTAAAAGAACTGGTTCTGGTTGCAGAACAGCAACCACATCTCACTCTGGGGGTGAGCTTTCTGTACCCCAAAGGTTCTGAGAGTAAACCAACCATCAGCAGATTTATTTACAGCAAACAGAGGAGCCATGGGACGTGTATGCATTTGTGCCTAACCTTCTTTTTCGTTGCAGGGCTCAAAGAACCTCATTTTGTAGCGTTTAATGGAGGATTTAGCCAAGCCCAGCTGGACTGGTTTGATGAAGTCCTCAAGTTCTCTGATGAAAACCAAGAAAAAGTTATAGTTATGGGTAGGTAGATATGGAGGGGGATAAATAGACAATCAGAGTGGTTTGTGTTGGAAGGGTGCTTAAAGCTAATATAGTTCCAACTCCCGTGTTTGATGGGAGTGTACAGAGGAAGCTCTCAGCAGCTCCTTTCACTCATTTCTGTGGGTGGCTTCTTCCCCCCTCACCAAATACCAATTAATGCAAAACCAGCACAACTTCCATGGAAATACTAGGAAAAAAAGTAACCTATGCATGTTAGCTGCAGAAAACATGCAGTTGGTCTGGTGAGGTACAGATGGAACCTGTGAAAGAGCAGAAGCAGCCACACCTCACTCTGGGGGTGAGCGATTTCTGTACTCAGTGGGATGAGAATTCTGAAAGTTCCCAGCAACGAGGAGCTTCATTGCAGTTTAACTCTCCTTATTTCCTTCCCTCCGGACTGCAGCTCACGTGCCCATCCATCCCTGTGCTTCCAACGGGGTTTGCCTGGCCTGGAATTACGAGGCGGCCCTGTCGGTGATTCACGCACACAGGTGTGTGGTCTGTGTCCTCGCTGGGCACCTGCACGACGGCGCCTACTGCCTGGACTGCCACGGAGTTCACCACCTCACCCTGGAGGGACTCATCGAGACGCCCCCCGACAGCAACGCTTTCGGAACTGTTCATGTCTACGAAGATAAAATGGTGCTGAAGGGAAGGGGCAGAATTCCTGACAGAGTTATGCCGTTCTGAAATACCGGGCAAATAGAGATTGTTCTTCTTCAGGAAGGACTCGGATAAAAATGTAGGAGATTCAGCTGTTTGCTTTTAGAAAGCTGTGCTTGGCTGATCCTTATTGCTTGAGCTCAGGAGTTTTTCTCTTGGATACAGAATTTTAGAAATTGTGTTTCTGTAAGAGAGCACCTGACTTCTTTTTGGAGAATAGAGAAGGTCAGTAATTGAAATAAATATACTGGAATGCAGAATGTTCATTTCAAACACCCAATCCAGACTGGATTTCTACTGTGAAAAGATGCAAACCATATAACGAATATTGCTCAAAAAAAGCCCTAATGCTGTTCTCTCAGTGAGCATTAAAGCATGCAGAGTTGTACCTGCCCAGCCATATCTCTATTTATTTATTTTTTGTGAACATTACAGTAAGGTCTCATGTTTGGCAGAATATATCCAGCCTGTAGCCTAAATCAGTCTTCCAACTTTGCTTTAAAAAACTAAAGTAATCCTGAGAGAAAGCTGAGCCTAAGGAGACCATCTGTGCTGCACGATGGAATGCTGCAGGTGCTCAGGCTGTGCTGTGTGTGCACAGCTGGGATCACCTGCAGCAGGGCTGAGGGTGAGCTCTGACACCCATGTAAACAAAGGTGGTGTGTTTTACACCTGGAGCTGTCCTGGCTCTGTCCCAGCCAGCTCCTGAGTCCAGTGTATCCACCTGTGCTTCCTTCTCCAGGATGAATAGTGGGACATGCTTGCTGCTGCAGGGCTCTGTGTGGGTCCTGCTTTCCAAGAAAAATTAGGTGAGCAGCAGAGTTGTGACAGTGCCCACATCTGCTGGTGACAGGCTTGAATGTGCATCTCCCAGGAGAAAAAAGATACAGAGGCTTTCATTAAGTTTTCTTATAAAAAAATAGTGTTTATTACTCAGTAAAACCAGTGACTTTCAGTTAAAGATAATAGCAAAAATATTTTTTTTTCAGATATATTCTACATATGATTTTAGCACAGGACAGAAATACAGACTGCTCAAGTTTTCCAAGAAGTCTGAAATGGATTATCCAGGCACATTTTTGAAAGTTCTATGGCTGTAAACAGCCATTTATTAAATTTAGTATTTGCTTTATTTGCCCCTTATATTACAGAATAGTAGATTTTAGATATCCCAAACTATGAGGTGATTGGAGAGTAATCCAGGGATACAGTGACACCTTGAATATACCATCAGGACAGACATTAGGTCAAGGTGCTTGGAAAATGTAAGAAGCAGCAAGATTAACAGTTTCCATAGAAAAATCCCCCACTCAGATTTGACAATGTTCCTCAACATTTTACCAAATCTCAGCTGGCACTGCTGGAAGCAGCCAGGTATTCTTGGGTCCTATCAAACTGACACTCACCTTTCATTAAGCACCAAAACCAAAGGCAAATAAGGTCAGCACAGTTCCTGTAATAGTCACTACAGACTTTCTCCCACCCAATCACATCACGGTTTTGCAGTGTGTTGGCCAAGATTCTCGCACGTCTTTGTTCACATAAATGTACAGCCACGAAACAAAGGGGAAGAGGGCAACAACAACTGCAGCAACCAAACGAGCTCCTCCCAGGGGACTCCTGTAAGAACAAATCCAACAGAGCTGCTTCAAATCAGTGAATCTTTAAGGCTGGAAAAGACCTCCATGATCATCAGGTCCAACCTTGGACTGCATACCACCACACCCACTAAATCCTACAGTGAAGTGCCACATCCAGTGCTTTTTTTTTTTGAACACTTTAAGGAACGGTGACTCCACCACCTCCCTGGGCAGCCTGTGCCAATGCCTGACCTCTCTTTCAGTGAAGAAATTTTCCCTAGGATCTAATCTCAACCTCTCCGGCACAGCTTGAGGCTGTTTCCTCTGGTCCTGTCACTGTTCCCTGGAAGCAGAGCCTTGGCAGCACCTGCCTGTGAGTGAGTTGTAGAGAGTGAAAAGGTCCCCTCTGAGCCTCCTTTTCTCCAGACTGAGCCACTCCAGCTCCCCTGGTGACTCCTGGTGCTCCAGACCCTTCCCCAAATGTGGCTCCAGGACTGGAGGTGCCTCAGCAGTGCCAGCACAGGGGACAGGCACTGTCCTCATCCAGCTGACCACACCATGATGGGACAGCCCAGGATGTCCCTGGCCACTGCTACAGCCACCACACAGCAATCACATCTGCCTGCAGCTGGAAAGAGCAGAGAGCCTTTGGCCAATTTAATGGGGCTCCTGTGGATGGATGTATCACTAATCTTATACTGGAGAGACACAAAGAATTTTCTGACAACTCAGGCTACAGAAACTAGCTGGAATTTTAAAATGCACCTTAAGCAAAGGGAAAATGCCCCTATTATGGCAGGGGGCCAGGAAAAGTGCTTCATGTAGCCTTACATTCCCCCCTGCCCCAACTTTTATCTGTGCAAGATGCTCCAGGCTGTAGCACCAGCTGCTACTGCTTGGGCATCTGGAAGGTTCAGAGGGTGACATGAAACAGCAAAACAGCAAAATCAACTGCGTGTTTTCAAGGAGCTAGTCACTAAATGTGAACATTGGAATGCATTATAAAAAAAGAGAAAATAAAACTTACTTTGCTGAACTGCGACAAAGACTCATCCATATTGCAATAATCACCAGACCAAACAATTCTCTAAAAAGCCAAACAAAAAATGGATCAGAAAGTACAATACAAATAATTTTGCCTCCAGAACAGTAGTGGCTGCTCCTTTGGAGAAGTTCAATATATTTTACTAGGATTATAATTATAAAGGTATTTACAAAGAGTAACTTTGTTTCACACTACAAATGTACAAATTGACATGTTAGCTAAACAGCTGCAGAAATTCCTGCAGAAATGACTGCTCCCTTCCCTGTCTCCAAGGAGTCACTGGTTTGGAGCATTATGGTCCCTCCTCTTTGGTCTGATTCCTCTGGACCAACAGCTCTCACTGAAACAGCCCAGGAAATGAAGGAAGGTGACACCAGGAGGAGATGGCCTGGTGAGCTGGATTTGGGCAGGGGCAAATAAAACCCACTGCTTACCTGCCTTCCTCTTCATGAAAAATGTTTCCTTGAGCGTGAGCAAACAAAGAGCAAGCCAAGGCAATGGTCCCAACAACACAGCCAGCAGAATGAAGGTCACAGAGGCTCCTCCAAACACCATTGTCTGGGGAAAAAATAAACTGTCAGCCACTATCTTGAAGAATGAAGTAAACCCATCTGGTTCTTCCACAGACCTGAATGGCAAATACCCCTTGGTGAATTTACATAAACCTGTAGTTTTGCAGACGTTGTGCTATTATAATCTTTATTTTATACAGATCTGGGCACAAGGAAAACCATAACTATGAGTTTAACATACAGATTCTATTGATCAGGCAGAACCTCCCCTGAAATATTCAAAACACAAGCCTCATGAGTTCTGAACTTAGGAATGCTGCCAGTTTATATGTTAAGGTGGCCAGAATGCCAAGAGACTGCAATGGTGTAATGTGTGACAACACCATGCACTCCTGAAGGTTTTCTTTTTTAAGTGTGATTTTTAGTCTATTCACCATAAGTATTCAGCCAGAACAGATACAGTCACTTTGTGTATTATTTAAAATTATTTCCACTGAATTAAAATACAAAAATCTTAACTATGTTCTGAAGACTTGAAACAAATCTGATCTGAATGATCCTCTGAACTGCTGTTAGCCCTCACAACACACACTGTTGGAACCACAGCCTTTGAATGTTCCTATTGCTGCCCAGGGCTCTGTGGGGCAGCTGCAATACCTGGCACTGAACAAGACCTTTAGCACTTTCATGGGACTGTGCAAAGCTCAGCTGCTTTTGCACGAGGTAGATAAACAAAAACAGATTTACAACAACGAAACAAAGTCAATTGCTCAGGTCAACACAGAGCTGGGTTCAGAGCACACTCCCAGGTTTCTGCTCCAGAAGGCTTTAGGCTGGAATTGGGGTGCAAAGGCATGCCCATCCCAGCAGCTGGGCTTTCTGCTGGGCTCCTCTCCTCACCTGCAGCCACCAGCACTAAAGGCACTAAAACAATGACCAGCTTCTGTAGAAATAGGTCCTGCAGCTTTTTGCCCTCAGAAGGTTGTAGGATGTGTTTCTACACAGCCTGATTCTAGTCTGCCTCAATTAGGGAAAAAAAAAGGGCAAGACAACCTTTTGAGGGCAAAATATGAGCAGAGACTCTTTTGCACACCAGTGTCATACCTGTTATTGAAGGGTTGATGCTGACAAGCAGTGTCAAGGCAGCTGGCACTAAGTAGACAACCTGTTAATGACATAAATCTACTCGGTAGCAAAACTTAGCAAGCTCAGGAAGCAGAAATGCCCAGCCACAGCAGCACTTCTCCCCTTCGCACAGTTTGTCAGAGCCACAGAGCACATCCCAGTCCCTCGCCCTCGGGCATGCCCTGGCACTGCCAGTGCTCATCTTCACCATCACCACCCAAAATCCTGGGCCATCAGCTCTCAGCCAGCCCTTGTTCCTCTGCTCCTGGCTTCCAGAACGCTGTCTGTCTGACCAAGCACTGCAGAGCCCCTTCCCTGAATCCTGACCCTGACGGCACAGGCTCCTGCCCAGCCCTGGGCTCCCCAAACCCTCCACCCGCGCTGGGGCGTTTGGTGCCGCTGTCAGAGGGGCTCACACACCCAGGGCACGCAGGGCAGCCCCTGCCCGGCCAGCAGCTCCTGTCGCACACACAGACTGTCCCCACCACCCGCAGCCAGGACCGGGGCCAGGCGCTGCTCGGTGCCCGAGGCAGGACGGCACCGCAGCGGGGCTCGCTCCCCGTTCCCTCGGAGACCCGGCTGAGCTGCACAGGCAAGAGACGCTCTGCTGGGCTGAAACAGGGCAGATCCTGGGAGCACGGGCGGATTCCAGCAGCAGAGACATCGCTTTCCCGGCGGCTGCCCGCTCTTCAGCTGGGAGCCGGCACGTTTCCTCCGGCAGCCCCGGATCGGCGGGCGTTAGCGGAGCGGGCTGGGGGCGCCGGGACCCGGGGCAGGAGATGCCGAAGGGAAGGGGAAGGGGAAGGGGAAGGGGAAGGGGAAGGGCGGCCCGTACTCACCGTCCACAGCCCCGCGTCGGGGTCGTTCACCTGCAGCGGGAGGCGCGCACTGAGACCCCGGCCCGGCCGGGGCCGCGCTCCCGGGGAGGGGAGCGGAGGGGACGGGAGGGGAGCCCCGGCCTCACCTGCACGGCGGCCGCCAGCCCGAAGAAGGCGGCCATGAGGAGGTTGCAGAGCCGCCACAGCCGCGCCGCCATGGCCGGGGCGGGACAGAGGGGACGGACAGAGGGACGGACAGAGGGACGGACAGAGGGACGGACAGAGGGGCGGGACGCGGGCGGGCCACGGCCCCGATCCCGGCCCCGATCCCCGATCCCGGATCCCTATTCCATCCACGATCCCGGCTCCCTATTCCCATCCACGATCCCGGCTCCGATCCCCATCCCGATCCCCATCCCGGCCCCGCTCCCGATCCCCATCCCAGCTTGGACGGGGCTTGGAGCAGCCTGGGACAGTGGAAGGTGTCCCTGCCATGGCAGGGGGCTAAATGAGATGAGTTTTAAGGCTGCTTCTAACCCAAACCATTCTGCGATTTTTTGTAATGGTTCGGAAATAGTTTTGTGTTTAAGAGATTCGGTCATTCTGTGTAGTCTGGGGAACCAAAAAGGATGTTCCTCAGAAGAATAGCATTGTGCCATTGTTCGCTGATAATTTATGATGATAAGTGATAGTAAGTGATGAATTGAAAGTGGGTCCTTTAGAAATGTGATATTTACCAAACCCGAGCCTCTGTGAGATCACGTCTTTCAATTTCAGTTTCAGAATCGTACAGTTCCCTCAGCACCCAACAGAATCCGGTCTTGCTGAATTGTTAAGTGGAGGACGTGTAAATGTATTCACATTTGTGCAGAGGATTCATTCTCGTCTTAATTTTAACTTTCTTTCCTTGAGCAGATTACAAGAGATGAGATTACTGCAAATAAAGCCACAGAGAAATAAGAGTTGTCTTTGTGAGAGTCCCTACCCCTCACCTCAAAAGAAGCAGAGCTCTAGTAATAAATCACCTTCATGCCTTGTTTCCAGGTCAAGCATAGGCTCTTGAATGTATTTTCTAACAGAGGGGAAGTAATTTTGGGCTAGAAAATGAAAATGTCAAGGATTAAAAAGCAACAGTGGTGATAAAAGTGTAAGAAGAATGTAAGAGCATGTATTTCATTAGCATAATAATTATTAGCATAATATGATAGGAAAATAAAAGCAGCCAAGCTTTTCAGGCACACCAGTTCTTTGTGTGGGAAACAAAATTATGAGTCACTGCCCATTTTTTCCAACCATACTAGCTGATCTTCAATATGAAAATTGAAGACACCAGAAAAAGGTGTCTTCAATTAATCTGTGATGAAGTCTTTGGATCTTTAATTTGTCTGATCACAAGCTATTGTGTAAATTTGCACAGCCCACCTAGTTTCTGTCACGGCTGGGCTGCTCTTTGACATCTCATGGGCTGCACAGCCAGGAGGGGAGAGGGAACAGATGGGAGAAACTGAGAGAGACTGGGAAGGAAGCAGAGAAACAGCTGGGCAAACACATCCAGCGCCCTCCATGGTGTGGGACAGGACTCTGATGAGGGGAAGGGAAGGCTGGGCTGGCAGAATTAAGCTTCTAATGGGCACTTGGGAGGCATGGCATGGAAGGTTTGGCAATCCTGTGAGTGACCAAAGTTCAGTGACACAAGAGCAAGGGAAGCCAAAAGGCCCCTCTGCCTCTCCTGAGGATATGGTCGGAAGGAGGCATTGGTTTAGCAACTGTGGCATTCTTTACTGCTCTAATTCACATAATCACAGAATATTCTGAGCTGGAAGAACCTATAAGGATCACCAAGTCCAGCTCTTGAGTGGATGGCACATACAGGGATCACACCCACAGCCTTCATGGTAGCATCGTGCTCTGGCCAATTGAGCTAAATGGAATTCAAAAGCAATCAGGCTGTAACGTGCCTTACAAATAAAAACGTCTTTCAGTGCTGGGTGTGCTTATTGCAAAGAAAAGGTCGGGGCTGTTCACTTTAAAGCTTTACCAACTATCCTGAGCACTTCCTGCAGGCACCCGCGGCAGGACACAGCAATGTCGGCAGAAGGCAATACTGACTTCTCCCATGAGAGGGAGGCCAAGAACCTTTAGTATCCTTGAGTGGAACTTGAGCTACTTGTTCCTCGATATTAGGCAAAACAGCTTCCCTCTTTATGACTCTCTGGATCTGCTACTCACCCCACAGCAGTCCGAGCTTCTCTTCACTGTGGCAGCTCCACCTGTAAAGAAGAGAGGCAGCAGGGATGGACCCTGCAGCCAGGCTGTGATATTGAGAGTCAGAGATTTTACTACACCTCAGCCATAGCCACCCATCACAGTGACCCATTTCATAATGGCCCTCATCCTTGTGTCCTGAATGGTCACAGATTGGTTTCGATTGGATCAAAGGTGATTAAAAGGCTCTGGGTGGGCAGGTGAAGGGATCAGGGCCTTTGGTGTGTTCCTGGCTGCAGAATCCTGACTGCAATTCCAATGGGGACATCTATAGATAAATGCACGGTTACACAGCTGATATTGCCAAAAGGGCTCTGGGTTTAGTTGCCTAAACTGGTGGATCAGGTGCCAGGAGCAGGGAAGGATGGGGCCCACCTTCCTGAGAATGGGAGCAGTCCCGTGTTCCCTGATTGACCAACTTTAGAGAACACATTTCTGAAGCAAAGGCAAACCCATCCCTGGGATTGTTTTTGCTCAAGGACATGGGTGCACCAGGTAAGTAATGCAGAAGGACAGGGAAACATGATATGTACCTCAAGGAGATTTGATTTCTGGATGAGAGCAGTCTGTAATGTTGAATTTCATATGTCATATTGGTTGTTCAATGACAATGCCACTGTATGTCATAGCTACCCTGAACAGTGAGTATGGACTGCTCCAGATACACCAGCCATGGACTAACTGAACTCAGCAGATTCATCTTGGTGAGGATGGCCATGACTACTGAAATAATAGCTCTGCTTGTGTAGAGTTATATGAATATATATGTATATAACATAGTTGGGAAGTATAAGATCTGGGCATGATGTAAACGGTACAGAATAAGGGGTGGATGATGTCCTGGCTGCAGAGAGAAGAGCACATCAGGAAAAATGCAGACAAACCACTCTCACATCCTGGTGTGGCACAATGTTTTAGGAATAAAGTGAAAAGTAACAGATGTCACCTATGTGGACTTTAGGAACGTTTTTAATATTGGCTGTCCTGACCCCTTCTTAAGAAGATATAAGGGCATGGTGAGTGTAAAACTGGTGAGATCATTGTACCACAAGTTCTAATTATCAGTGTTTGTAAAAATGGAAGGATATATTCAGAGGATTTTTGCAGGGGTCCATTCTGATGCCAGATCTTTTTAATTACTTCAGTTAACAGCCTGGATGATTAACACCCATGACTGCCTTATTAAAACTGCTAATTGCTCCAGACTGTTGAGGACAGCAAAGACAACGGGATTCAGCACTAGATGGAAAAATGGCCTGCATTCTACATGGCAATATTCAACACGTGCAACTTCCAGCATTACTTTTATGAGCAGCAAGCAACACACATTGAGGTGAGGAAACTGGGTGGATGCAGTTTTCAAAAAAAGAACCTCAGCAATCCAAAAAACACTCCCCTCCCAAAAGAAGAGTCTACAGTGTAATGGAGAGCAAACTGAAAACCAGCAATGGAAAAGGCAAACACCATCCTGGAGCATGTGAGCTGTAGCCTCAAAGGCAAGCTGGCATAGTATGCCTAGCTAAGGATGCTGTACTTCAAAAAATGCAGATGGACAGAGAAAAAAATCAAAGGAGGTCAATGAGGGTGCTGGGAGGCATAGGAAACATGAAGAAAGGCTGAAGGAAATGAATTGATGTAATGTGTAGAAGAGAAAGCTGAGGCAAGGACAAGCAGGGGAACATTGCAGTTCATCATTGCACATCAAGTGCCCAGGGGGTCATTTTGAAGAAGGCTATGGCCATAGTGAACAGGGCAGGATGTAAAGGATTTGAAATTTTAAGAAGCCCCTGGAGTTAGGCTTTTGGATCATGTTAGGATGTGTGCCAGAACAGATTGCTAGGGAATGGCACAATCCCCATCACTGGAGGTCTTTAAGGAAAGGTTTCACAAACAAGTCAGAACAGATATTGTTGATCCTCCTAGATTTGCAGTGAGGGAAAAGTATGACTTTAGCTAATTGTAAGCAAACACATGTAGGTGGCACACAGCAGAAGTGGAAGTTAGTGTTTGCCAGTAGGCACTAGGTTTGTGCATCAAAGTCTGCAAGGTGCCAGCCCTGGCCCTGCCCTCAGGGGTTAATGCAGAAGAGAAGGCTTAAGCAAAACAGGGAAGAGAAAGGAAAGATATGGAACTAGGGAAGGGAATGTTTATTGTGTCAGGACTCAGCACAAAGGGTGATGGTTTGCAGTTCGTGGAGGCACTTCCAGTGTGTGTTCAGGGCTGTATTATCACCTCCGTGGTAACCTGGGCAATGGAGCAGCAGGGAAAGAGTCCTCGTACTTCTAATACATGGGATGTCCAGCTCTTTCCTCAGCCCATCTCCATTCAGAAAAAGCGTCAGTATTGTTTGTACTACAAAGATGAGGACACAAGGCCTCCTGTAGGTGAAGGGACTCCCCTGTGTCATGAAGCAGGCTGGAGAGGGACCACAGTGAAATCGGGGCAACAATTTCACTGCTCTAATTCACAGCTTGTGCTGCCCCTTTGAATAGGAGCGTGGGTTTGCCGGACTTAGGAGGAATGGTCTGAAACCATGTGCTGGCATGAACAGCAGTGACCAAGAGAAGAAAGAGAATGAGGGGGAGACTGATGATGGCAGGAAGAGGCTGGGTGTCCGGCAAAGCACAGCAAGGAGTTGTGCCCTGTGGTCCCGAGGGAGTGGGGAGAAGTTCGCGAGGGGAGAAGCCCTAACCCTAGGGTGAAGATGAGAAATGCTACAAAGCTGCGGGCCCCCGAGGGGATGCGGACAGCACAGATGTCGGGGCGCGGCGCGGGGTCCCCTGCGGGCGGTGCCCCCCGGCCCGGGGCAGCAGCAGCGGCCCCGCAGCGCAGCGGTGCCGCAGGCGCGGGGCCCCGGCGGGGAGGGGTTTCGCGGCCCCAGCCGGGGGCGGACGGGCGGCGGGGCCGTGTGTCCTGCCCTGCCGGGGAGGGCCCTGCGCAGCGCCGCCGCCGCTGCTCCCGCTCCGCGCACAATGGCGACTCCCAGCCCCAGCGGCGGCTCCGGGGGGAGCGGGAGCGGGCCCGGCCCGGGGGAGCGCGGGGCCTGCCCGGAGCTCGGCCCCGGCCGCCGGGACAAAGGCCGGGCTGGACGCGGCTCCGGCCTCTCCCGGCCGGGAGCGGTTCTGCGGGCGCTCCGGGTGACCGCGGCAGGCCGCGGCTGCAGCAGCATCCCTGGGGCGGCCGGAGCCGAGCGCGGCCGTGCCCGCAGGAGCCCCGCGGTGCGGCCGGGCCCCGGCCGGAGCCTCCGCCGTGTGCTTTCCTCAAGGCAAACGCTCAAGTAAAATCGGTTCAGCGCGAAGTTGCCGTTCAGTTTCATTCAGTTTCATTCAGTTTCATTCCGTTCCGATGGAAATTTACAGTGCTGCAGCGGGTCGTGTTGGTTTCCACCGGCACTTGTTGATGGTTGATCAGCCTTGCAAAAACGGGATATTTGTTTTTCAGAAAGGCCTCAGCAAACCCTTTGAGTTTCTCATTTAAAGTTAGAGCACTGAAATCCACTCTCTGCTTGAAAAAGATTATAGGCCTTATTAGGATGAGGAGGCACAGTGCTACTTTGTTTGTTTCTTTAAATTAAATACAGGGATTGTAATATTAAAGAAGCAGTTTACCCTGTTTTGGGACCAGGAAAAAGGAAAGGTTGCTCTCTCTGTGACAGAAGTGCGGGTGCTGTTGTGAAATAATGTTTGTCACTGTTATTTGCCATATTCTTTGTTGGTCCTGGTATGGACTATGCTGAGACTGGTGGGGACTTGTTTGGGCAGAGAACTGATGGTTAAACTGAAGAGCTTGGTATATTTGGAGTCAAAAGGTGAATTTTGGCTCCTAGCTTCCCCTACATGAAGGATTTGGTACCTTTTGGGCCTTGTCAAGGTAGTATTATCCATCTTTCAAAAAGCAGCATCCCTGACTTTGTGCATTAAATGCATGGATTAAAAACTTTACCATGATATGCCAAAAGAATTGTAATTTAATAATAGCAAGCCTTGTTCTTGTAGTCAAAGTAAAACCCTCAATGTTGCCCATTGTATTTCCACCTGACCTGTTTCTCATATTTGAGTCGTTCCTCTGAATCACCTGGATGTTCCAAGGCTTGGTTTTGCACCCTGCACCTGTGATGCCCTGTGAGCTTGTGGTGATGCAGCATCTGCATGCTGTGTCCAGTGGAGGAAGGGCACCTGGTCCTGCTGTAGCTGGTTAAGGTGGCTGTTTAAATGTGGATTGAGGGCTTGTGTGGTGGTGCCCAAGTGCTGGTGGTTTTCCCCAAGGTACAGGTGAGTGTTCAGGTGTCCCAGGAGGAGTTGTGTGTGGGATCCTGCCTGGGCTCGAGCCCAGGTTGCTGTGACTCTGATGGTTCCTGGAACATGCAAGAAACTGTCCCAGGAGGAGCTGTGCTGCCACAGCACCTGGGTGGGATGGGAAGGGGCTGGACGTGGCTGCAGGTGCTGTGCAGGCTGCTGGGGCAGCTCGGGCTGCTCTCCAAGATGCACAGTGCCCTTGCCCACAACACGAGTTCCTGCTGATGCCAGGGCAAGCTGAGCTGAACAAAGAAAACCGCACAAAAGTGTCAAGCGTTCCACAGTTGGGAAGATCAGCTTGTGCTTGTGCTCCTGGGCAGGCAGTGGAGCAAGGGAGGTGCAGGAATGCATTGGTGGGTGGGGAGGAGAGCAGGTAGGACTCGATTTAATTGGCTTAAACAGCATGACAATGTTGAGCAGGGAAGTCATTAAGCTGGAAACAAGTAATTATATTTAAAAAAAAAAAAAAAGTTTTGCTCAGTTAATTTTCAGCCACAAACACTCTGACCTGGCTTGTGCAACTGCTTCTGCGAAGGAGGTGGGAGTGGGAGAGGGTGGAACTCCCGTGCCAAAGGGCTGTGACAGTGCTCCCCTGGGCAGCAGTCTGTTGCTTTTGGAGGCCCTGCCCAGAGGCCATGTGCTTGGGCAAGCTCGCCTGAGGTGAGAGTCCCTTGCAGGAGGTTTCTGTGTTGGTGTCAAGGCTGGCAGTCTTGAGTGTCAGCTGTCAGGGCATTCGTCAGGGCCTGAGGGTAGGGAAGCGTTGTGAGGATGGTGGTACAGGGGAGAATTGATGCCTATCACATTGATGTCCGGAGCAAGGGCAGCAGATCCAGAAGGCCTCTGCAGGCCGCCCAGTTTTGGTTTTAATTCTGTATCCTACACCATTTTTGATGCACACAGGCTAAAGTCCTCCAGGTGACAATGCAGAAGTGAAGGGACACTGCCCTGTCCTGGTGCTGGGCTCACTGTGCAGCCATGGCTCTCAAGCCTGGTGATCAAGCAAGGGGTTGTTTCAGGCCTTATTATTATTCACCCTTTTTCTGCATGCCCCAGCTTCACTCTCAGGTCTTCTCTTGGCTACCTGGATCAGCTGCCCATGCCTAAGGACCTGGAGCTTCGTTTCTTCCCAAAGAGTCTCCTGGCCACTGCAATTCATGGTGCTCTGTTCAAGGCACAGCTTGGAGACAAAGGAGAGCTGGAATTCTGAGTATTAAAATAGATCCTATTCAGTAATTTTTTAAAATGTCTGTTGCATGCACACTAAATGAAGTCTGTCCAGATGCTGGTGACTGGCAGTGTGAAGAGTTGTCGTTCTTATTTATGTGTAATGTTAAAGTTCAGGAACAGTCCTGAGTATTTAGTGTCCTGGATGTTTTGTGTGGGAAGTAGGATACCTTTGACAGTGCTTTAAGGAAAAAACAGCACCCAAACTGTAATTGGAGCAATTTCGTGTTTCTCTCATTGCCAAAATTAGTAATAGTCATTACTGCTAACATTACTCAGAAAGTGATAATTTGAAGAAAGGTGGTATGAAATCTAGAAATGTAGTTTATTCCAAGGCATAGGGAGAATTTTGATTCTAATTAAAACCTGTGGAGTCACTCATCCTAGCTACAGTGCCAAAGAGGAACTGGAACCACTTGTCACCGATGGTTATGGAATCAGCTCAGCTGCATTGGGCACTCAGGAAGACTTGGAGGCAACTGGGACTTCTCCAAATACTCACTGCCTGGTGTGCTCTGGTGTCTCTATAAAAGCAAAGCAGAGCTACTGCCTGTGTCTTCTCAGAGTGTACATCACACCTCAGATGTGTTGGGTGGGAATTCCTGACCTGTTCAGCCAGAATTTGGGATTCTCATTTCCCTTCATGTGTGTGTGGTCCTGTTTGCTCCCTTACTGATGTCTTTGCCCTCTTCAGTCGACTCCAGCCATTTCAGCAGAAAATCAGAGGAGGTCTGTCTCTGGTGAGAGAGTCCTTTGTGGGTATGAGGCACGGAGGTTGTTAAGAGGTGTCTGAGTGCGTGAGGAGATGAACTAGAGTCCCTCTCTTACCCTTGGGTGCCATTCATGACATCAGTGGCTTATTGAAGTTGGGTGATCAGTTCCTATTTACAAGGAAAATCTGTCCTATACCTTTCTCTTTCTGGCAGAAAAGAGCTGCTGGGAGGCTTTTTGAGTTCAGGAATTGTTCATATTTGTGATGGACTTTGCCGGTCACGGTGAATTTGGTGTGGGTGTGTGATGTACACTGTGTCAGTGGAGTGATCGTGGCTCCTGCACACAGCAGGCAGAAGCAGAATATTGCTTGAAACCATTTGTGGGCTCACTGCAGCCGGACTGATCCTCAGTGTGGGAATTCTGTAAGAGATGCCATGGTTCCCGTGCCCTCCTCTGCTGCTTGCTGCCTTGGTGAGTGCATGGGGTGACTGGAGCTCTTCCCCTCCTCACTCTTGCCCTCGGTGGAATTACCAAACCATGTGTGTGAGCAGACAGCACTGATGCAGGCTGACTCTGGCAGATCGATGGGTGTACGTCTACTTGGACATATTTGCATTCATTAAGAGCAATAAAAGTTGTGTGGTGAGGAAATCAGTGTATTTCAGTTCATTTCTGCCCCCAGTTTATTCCTGTATGGGCATTATGGCCACGTGTGCTTTGTGTTTGAGTCTTGGCATAAGCTTGTGTGTGTAGGGTTGTGTTGGTATGTGGGCATATGGTTTTGCATTTTGTCTTTCTATTTTGTTTCACTTTAATCAACTGATAGTTTTGAGATGTCTGTTTTCCTGGTAAAGGGGCAGCCCAAAAGTACTAGTTAGTCTCCCCAGATGCTGGGAGAGCTTTTCAGTTATTTTATGTTTATTTGGGGAAGCCAGGAGGTGTGGAAGTCACACTGTTGCCCATCAAAATGAGAGTTATCCTGCAAGAGAAAGATGAGTTTTGTGAGGAAGCAGAAAAAGCCAAAAATGTGTGCTTTCCAAACGTCATGTTGTTGGGGAGTTCCCGAAATTAAATTTGTATGTATGCAGTGAAGCACTGATTACAGGAATCTTGTGTAACCATATCAAGTTCTGCGTGTATCAAACACACATAAACAGCTTTTTAGCATCATGCAGCTTTGAAGTTGGATGTCTTCTGTTGGATTTAGGTTTGATAAGATTTTATGTGAGAGAAAATGTGGAGTTCTGCTTCGTGGTGGAGGAAGCAGGCTACCTGTTGTAGCCTTTGGAGGCTGAAAAGGAAAACTGTGAGGGGAAGAAGCTGTGCAGGGTGTTTGTGTAGTGCTCTGCCCTGTGGGTAGGAACTGGCAGGAAATATCCACCTCCAGGCTCCACTGAAGTTATGTTTATAAAGAAGGTATAAAAATCTCTGAATGGATGTGATTCTTCTGGCATCCTCTGAAAGGCTGGAGGGCGCTGATCTGGGCAGCGTTGGAGAGGTGCTGGTGATGTTCCCTGCTCTCATGTACCTCATTTAAAATGGGCTTCATTGCATTTAAACGCCTCCTTAGATGTGCATGTGTGTCTTGCTCTTCTGCCTTGTACTCAGACAGCAGCATCCACTCAGGAAGGTGGGGATTGCAATGCTACAGCAGCAGGCTGAGGAAAACCTGCCTGATACTGGCAGGTGAGTCTTTTCACTGTGGTTTGAGAGGTATCACCTTGGGATATTGGCTTCTTCATGGATATTCTGGTAAATATGGACTATTTTTATTATTTTACAATGTTGTCTGCTGGCTTTGGAGAGATGAACAAATGGTTTTGGGATTCATTTGTTGATCCTGGTCATTTATGGTGGCTGGGCTGTAACATCTCTTCTGCAATGAGAAACTGAATCCCTCCAATGACACTCATTCAAAAGAATCTTTGTCTTTAGGTCTATTTGCGTAGGAGTTATTGCATGTTAAAGATCAGGTTAGTTGATTTCTGGTTTTTGGTTCTCCCTGTGCAGTTCTGCTGCTGCTCCCTTGGCCAATGCCTTCAGTAATGTGAATCTTGCACTGTGTTATTCCAGGCTGCTGGTGTTCCCTGCAAAGGGCTTTTGTCTGTCTTCTGGGTACTCAGGTTTCTTTTCATGCTGTGGATTTGTTTGATTTGTGAGCAATGGGTAAATGACAGTGCAGTGCTTGTTGAGCATGGTAAAATGTCTTTCAAAAAGGTGTGTTACTGTAGCTGATTTACTAAATGTGCAGTAGTTACTCATGGTAAATCCCTGGAGAGAGACACTTCACCTGTTTCTTCAGTTCAGCTCATAGATAACTTGAATACTGTGTCTCTGCTAGGCTGAGAATGGAGCAGCTATTGCATGTTCCTTGTCCTTCTGGTTTGGAGGATGTCTGGAACGTGAGTTGAGGCTCATCCCTTGCAGCTGGCACAGACTTGGCTGTCAAAATATTGAAATACTTGATTATCAAAATCAGTGAGAAGGAAAGTGCTCCGAGTTATCCTGAAGGTGCCCAGGGGTTAAGCCATTGTTCATGAAGTGTGAAATGCAGGGACAGTGGGTTTCATCTCGTTCTCCTGGGACAGGATTGCAGGGAGGATTTGTGCAGCCTTGGAGCTTTGGTTTTTACTTGTGGTTATGTTGTCTGAGCAAGACAAAATAATTTTTGCTGTGACTCTGCACCATTTTCTACCCCCACCCACCCCTTTGTACTGCTGCTGAGTTGTTGCACAAGTTATTTCAGTTACAGGTCTCCTGCTGAGGTGTGCTAGGTGGATTTATGTAAACTGTATATGAGATGCTTGGAAAACTGCCACTGCAGGTGACACCTCATGTGGCAGCCTGTCGAAGGGGTGCTCCTGTGCTGCCAGCATTGAACTGATTGCAAGAGCTGGAATGGATGGGCCTTTTATATACATGTACCTTTAACCTACACAGCCCATCTGTTTGTTCACCTTGTAGGCATTTCCCATGTTGGACCATGTTTGTCCCCTTGCCTCATGAGTGGTCCCAGCTCAGGACCTGTTTACCCTCTTTGGAATTGTGTCTGAGTGAATTGGTCTTTTTCCTGAGACCCTGAAGCTGAAGGGAAGGATAGACTGCAGGGAGATTTGCAGTAGGAGAGACTTGAACTAATTCCTGTCATTTAATACAGTAAACTAGGAGCACCCAGAGGACAGTAGGGATGTATTTTAAACCAAAGTACGTAAAAAATGACTGATAAACTTTGGCAGCCAAATACATTTGGAAATAATAAGGAGGGAAAGGAGAGTTGGAAACTTGCTCTGCCTCAGCAGTGAAGCTTTGTTAGCCTGAACATTTGTGTTTTGGAGCTGGTGTTCTGGACAGTCTGTGGTGCTGACTTTGGTTCTAAACTTCTCATTCCACTTTTATTTTATGTTACATTAGTCTGGTTCTTATGGTCATCTGCAATCTTACTGGGTTTGCTTTTGTTTGAGGGGAAGCTTTAGATCTTGAAGCTCCCCATGATGTGCATTTCCTGGTGCTTAGGTGGCTGTTTCTTCAAGATGAGTCCTGCAGTTCGTGCAGGTGTAACATGTCTGTGTCTCCTCGTGGTTAGGTGGAAAGGTGCAAACATGATTTTTGTCAGATGTCATAGGTTTGTTTAAGCACAGTCCCAGTGGAGCTCTCTGCAGCCCTGTTGGATGCCTGCTCCATGCCTGCACAGATCCCTTGCGGGGCATGTGAGGTATCATTGGCCTGGATTTGCATCAGGAGTATCATGTGATGCTGCAGAGCATCTTCCAAAATGTGTGACCTTGACACCTCAGGCTGTACGCTCGGTGGTGAGATCTCTGCTATTGCTGTTAGTGAGGAAACACAACACAACACGGTGTTGCCAAGTACCACTGCCCATCTCCCTCCTGTTTCTCCTCTCAGGTGAGCTCACCTGCTGTGCACACGGGTGGTACAGTGACAGCATTTAGTGGGTATGAGCATCAAGGGAGATGGGAGTTGGTGTATTGCACAAATTGTTTATTTATTAGCTGCTAAATTGAGTTCCTCTTTTACAAATCAAAGCCTGGGTGTTTGCCCTTTACTGGAGGCAGGGCGAGCCCTCCAGGAAGCAGACAGCTCTGCTGGTCCTGGAGCAAACAAAGAGTCCAAGCGCCAGGAATTAGTCTGTGTTTTGAATAATTTATCTGATCTTTCTGAGGTGCTTCGGGAGATGCCCTGTGGTGTAAGGAGGACAGCTGTTGGGAGCAGACAGCTGAGCTGAATGGGAGTTTATCCTTTATCCGTTTTTGTCTGGGCTTATTTTTTTTTATCTGTGGACCAGAAGGGTTGTGTGGTTTGCTTTGGACCTAATTCTCTGGAAGTGGTTCTCTGAAGTGAATTAGCTATCACTTTGCTTTTGGACCAGAAAGCAAAGTGTTTGTACTTTGAAGAGGTTTGTGGACAGAGATAAAACAGTTTCCTTTAAAAACATATGGCTGTGTTGTTTGACCTGGGAGGGGTTGTGGACTAAGATGAAAGCAGTGCGTTTGGAAATCTCTTCTGGGGAGCAGTGGGACCATGTCCGAGTTTTCCTGTAGAGACCAGTTCCTCTCCTGAACACTCAGTTCAGGACTTGGCCTCATGCCAGACTCTGGAAACCTCATCCTACCTTTGCTATCCTCTTTTCCCTTGCCCCACTCAGAAACCTGCATGGCAGAAAGGAAGGGGAAGGATGGTCAGAACGGCTTTATGCAGTGCTGGCCGGGAGCTGAGGAGATGTTCTTCAAGGTCCTTTTGCCTTGGGGTAGCTGCAACAATCAGTGTGTGGAAAGTGGGCTATTTGCATGTCAGCTTTTAGAGCTGGTTTCCTTCGTGACTGAGGAAGAGGTCAGCTTTCTGGTCTGATGCAGCCCAGCTGTTGTCGCTAGAAAGTGTGACACTAAGGTGTAAGTTAGTATACAAGTTTACACAGAGGAGTTGTGAATGAGCTCAGACTTCTGTTGGAAGAAGAAAGGGTTGGATGTAAAGGTTTAGATATATGCTGTTTTAGGCAGCAGCTTGGCAATTGAGTTCTTTCTGCACTGGAGCCACATGTTGTGGAGTATCTGAACAAGCCTGCCAGCATTCTCCTGAAATGCAAAATCTATTTTAAAATATATTTCTAATTAATGTATTTATTTTTTAGAAGAACTGGAGTAATAGCCTGGAGCTTATCTGCCCAGCTGGTTATGCCACAGTCATAAATAGCCAGATAGGCTTTTTACGGGTTAAGTTTTGCCTCTGTGTATCAGTGCTAGGTGTCCATGGGGCTAAGAACAAAAATTTACTCTCTGACCTGTTTCTGTGGTTTCATCCCTGCTGATCCTGCTGATGAGGACTGCAGCTGAGCAGATGGGAGAAGGATCTTGTCAGCAAGTGTGGAAGTGGCAAAGATTGAGACAGGAGTGGTGGGAGCTGGTGTCCAAGGCCCATGGGTGTCTGTCTGGAGGATGGTGTGGGAGGGCTTAGCTGGCTTCCCCATCAGGGCCATCATTTGGAATCTTCTGTGAGTTGAAGAAATTCCCACTCTGATTTGTCAGTGTGGCTGCTTTTTTCCTGCCCTACAAAAATACGGGAAATGAAGAATGTGTGAATGCACGGTTAATTTCAATGAAGCCCTGCAATGTTTCTAGGTCTGGTAATTTGCTTTAATATAGACAGGCTGACTTGAATGGGAGCCTGGAACTGAACTGGCAGCAGGAGCCCTGCTCCACCATCAGCTGCCAAAAGTCTGAGTGGCACCCTGCCCCATACCAGGGCACTGTGCTGCTCTCACAGCACCTGGGACACAGTCCAGGAGCCACTTGTCCACAGTGTTGTTTCCACGTAGTAAATAGCAGCTTTCTGGGAAGGTTTGTGTAGGGTTTCCCTCCAGAGCTGAGTGATACTCTGACTTCAGCAGCAGAGCTCTGACTGCCCAGTGTTCTCAGAATAATCCTGACTAATTCTGATTATTATGGATCCTGACATATCCTGACTCCTTGAGGCCCAAACCAAACACAGATAGTGCCCTGTGAAAACACTCTTCAGCAGCTTGATGTCCTTGTTGTTGAGCAGTGCAGAAATGGAGGGTTAATAAGACTGGGGTCATCATCTTCCTGTCCCTTCAGGCATTGTGTTCAAGAGTTTTGGGTTTAGCAGCCAGCACAGGTCGCTCCATGGCAGCTGGGCTGGTGAAGGGGAAGTTTGGGTCATCTTCATCCAAGCTGCCAGGAGTTGCTGCTGCTTTACTGCCCAGCAGGAGCATTGACTCATGCCAGGAGGAAATTGTCTGCTCTTCCAACCTTGATGATTCAATCCCAAGTATTGCAGTTGTTTTAGATGACTGTGGGTTTCATATGATCTGGTCCATGTTAGGACTCAAAGAAATGCAAAAACCTTTGGAAATGTCTTTGAAAAGAGAAAAATAATGACATATAGCAACCCAGTGGAAGAACTGTGTCTGCACTGCATGGGCACACACATTCTGCTGGGACCAGCCAGAGCCCAGCTAATGCCCTTATCCCCTGCTAAGGGAACTGGCAAGCTGGGTGCACAGGGATTCCTATGACAAGTTTAATATTTTGTCTCCACTGGTTACCCCTTTCTACCTCATGCATAAGCATATCAGACTCCTCCTTAAAAACAGGAGTCTTGGCATTCAGTAGAGATTTTCAGTCATTAGCTGATAATATTCTCTCTGTTGCCACACCTTGGTGATTTCATGGCACCTGTGTAGCTGTTGATCTGGCATCTTCAACATGCACATGCTGCTCCCCCTGTAATGCCTGTGTCTTGGAGGTGTTTTAGGGTGTGATGCTATTCCTGCCCTGGTGTGCCTTGAGCTAGGCAAGGAACCAGCCTCCTCTCCCCTCTCCAGCATGTGGGTGCTCTGTTCCCACTGATGGGATGTTTTTTGTGATATCTTTGGAGTTCATATTGTCTCTGGGGTTTGTTGATGGTCTTGTATGGAGCAGAAAACATGGGCAGCAAGGCCAGGTTGATATATCTCAGCTTCCCCTCTTCTCAGATGCCTCTGAGGCAGCAGCACGAGGAGCAGAGTGAAGCTGTGCTGGAGCCACAAGCAGAGATGACACAATGTCATGCAGCAAAAGCTTGGGAGCCCTGCTGTAGTGCAGAAGTTGAGCATCATAAACCATTGAGGGTCACTTTGCTCTGTGGTGGGCATGGGGCAGCAGGCTGGCTCTGGTCACAGGCCACCCACACATGGCTGCAAAGGTGGAAAACTTCTTTGTGGTGTAGGGACACCTTGCAGGAGCCAGGAGGGGACTCCTGGTGCTGTTGTGTGGGATAGTCAGTTTGCCTGCAGGGCTGGTGCACACATTCCTTCTCCTGGAAGCTTGGAGGGAGAAGGAGTTAATGGGGACAAGGGCAAGGAAAGAAGATAGCTGGATCTGAGTTGGGGCTACTGGCTGATATTTTTGCAGCAGTCTTCTGTTACCCAGCGTGAGACCGCGGGGATTAGCTGGGCAGACTCTCAGGCTCCTTCCGGGCTCAGGGCCCGCCCGCCCTCTGCACACCAGTGGAGCTTTTTTACACAGCCTTTCAAAATCCACTGCACTTGGGGAATTTTTATGGAGAGATTTTACGGTGCTTATTTCTTTAGCAGCGAAATTTTGTGTTTGCCCCTGGTTGTTTACTCTAGTAAAAGGGTAAACAGCAAGGTTGCTGTTTCCTGAGAGTGCAGTGGTGCTAAATTCCTCATGCACATTGCTGTAGTGCCTGCATCCCAGAGCCTGCTGGATCACACCTGCCTCTTCCAAGTGCTGGTGGCTTGGGTCCTTGTCACTGCTCAGACTGGGAGCTTTGCCATGACCTGCCCCTTACATCACACAGTAGACCTGCTGTGCTTCCACTTCTTTTCCTCAAGAAGAACATCTTTAATTGGAAGGTGGGGGTTATTTTGTGCTGAGACAGAAAAGGCAGTTGCTGTTCTCTGTGCTGGAAGATCAAAGGTTTTTACTGGAGAGAGATGCTTTGCACATCCTCTGCTTGTTGTGAATGAAAGGAATGTAACACAGGTGTCTGAATTTCTCTTGTAAGCCATTGAGAAGTGGCAGGATTTGATCCCCAGCGCCCTACAGCCCTTTCATGGGAAAACAGCAGCAAGTCTCAGTTCAGGATGGCAGCTTTGCCCGAGTGAATAATTTGGCAAAACTGTGTGCTGTCAGGTGAGGCATGAGGTGTGTTGATGTTCTGCTGACCTAGATTTGGGAGACCCTGACAGTAAGCAGTCAGGGTATTAATAAATGGTGAAATGAGGGGGGAAATATGCAATGGAATTGACTTGCTGCTGGCCTGAAGGGAGCAGCTTTTAGCTTGCAGCTTCTGCTGTGCACTGGGATGCAGCTCTGCAGAGCAGCAGGATGCAGTGCTGACCTTCCCGTGGCTCAGGTCCCTGTGCCATGGCATTCCTTGCCCAGGCAGCAGCCCAAGCCATTCTCTTGTCCATGTGTTGGGCTCTTGCCTGTGCCCAGCTCTGCCTTGTCTGTGGGAAGGGCCGTTCCCAGGGTAGTTTCTTCCCATTTGTGTTTTGCTGACAAGTCTGTATAAAGAAAGTGGAAGGGTCAGGGACTCTTCTCTTTTTTTCTGTTTCTATCAGGGTTGCAAACCTCAAAACTGTTTGAAATTTATTTCCCAGACTTTGGTGTGAGGATCCCTTCCCAATGTAATGACATTTGATTAAACAGCAAGATCCCAGTCCTATGGTCAGGGCCTGTTAATAGTGTGCTGCAAGATAAACACAAAGTATAAAAAGCTCTCTTTTATTCAGTTGTAAAAACTGTAGCAATAAAAAGGCAGCAGGAGTTCCCCTGCTGTGGAAATAAAGGGTTTGTGTGTCCTTTGGGGGAGCAGAACCCTTTGAGCTGGGTGGTGGAAGGAGAGCAGAGCTCTCTACAGCA